CTTAGAAAATCAGAAAACACCTACAGATCATACTTTTGTAAATTTGAGAAAATCTGCCAACAACAATATGGAAAGTAAAGCTTTAAGAACTCACCATCTTCAACACTGCATTTGGAAAAACAAGTTCCCATCTTGATTTCGATTGACGATCACAAGATGGCAGACGTCTCTAACAATGAATGTTAAAATGACTTCCCAAGGTTTGGAAAATGCAAACTTTGTTTTCCTTTTAAAGATAACAGAAGCCAGTATTACCTCAGATGCTGAATCGATCTGAAATTCTGCTTTAATAACCGATGAATTGCCTTTTATATACAAAGAGCGTAACCAATAAATTTGACGTCACAATCTTAGATGTGACCGCTGACGCAACAATTGAAAACTTGCATAGTAAAAAGAGATGTGTAGTAAATTAAGAAATTTGCAGTGAAAGCAAATCTGAATGAATTTTGCATTACCAGAAACAGCTTTACGAGACGATGTTTTTGAAAAACACAAGCGGTACGGTGCTTGAAGGCAACGTATTATGATGTGTAGAATCAAGAACTTCTAATTTCCAAGATGGCAAGAGTGAAAACTGTTTCTTTGAACATGCTTTAACGAGCGTTTTTCCAGAAAAATGGAAATTTACAAGGAGAAAAAGGGAGAGAAGGTTTTTTAGGAAGTTGGTTATTTGTAATGAAGACAATGAAACTTCTCAATAAGTTATTGCAAGGCGATACAGCATAGATAGAAAAGGAAAAGACAAAGAGTGTAGGAATCTTTTTCCAGAGAAGTGAAGTTTCTTAGAGAACTTTTTTTGAGAAGAAGATTTTGAGATGTTGTGTGTAGTTGCTAAAGTATCAAAAAACAGGCTGCCACTATAATAACAAACAGCAGCTTTGACACCTCAAGGGGATCTGTTATTGACCAGAGGGGGATCCAGCGGAAAATCTGAGGGGCGCTTAAGGGCGTTGCCATAATAGCCATAATAATGCCACACCCCACTTTTACTTACGGTTAAATGAAGGCAACACCCATCTTGATAAATTAATCTTTTTTAAATTCAGGTATTAAAGCATAACTATATAGAAAATTATCTCTTTTGTTGAAGCCTATATGCTAGCAATGCTAGTTAAAAATAACACTGCTACCTTCGCAGTTTGTACATCACATTAATCAATGAATGACATTTTAGGTCGTTAGTCAATATTTGATTGCTCTGCAATATTCAGACGCTGGTTCATTTTTGTAAAAAGGCAGCTAAAATGTTTCAAAAAAAAAAAGCAAAAAGAATCATTGCTACATTAACTGACCATTACTATACGAAAATTGAGGTAAATATCATCGAGTAATGGTAAAATGGATTGGGTATACCCTAAGTGCCAGAATCCGCTGAGTCATGATTTTCATGAATGCCATGCTATTGGTTGACCTTGAACTGGTCACATGAACTCACCTCGTACTGATTGACAAAACAATTTCCATCAATAGCAAGTTGTCAACAACGGATGCAAGTATCACATGAAACAGCAGCGATCACGCCGATTCCAAATGACCCCTATAGAGAAGGCCTATTTACCACGACTCAATGCCTTTAAATCAATACTTGTAAGAATTTATTGATAAAAATTGATTGTTTTACTAAGTACCTTGTTGAAGTAGTACGTTTTTGGGGTCATCTGCATTTGGCAAGAAATGGGTATCGAACTCATTCTGGTAGTAATTACCATACCACCCCAACAACCAAAAATCCTTGGCACAATTTTTTTGGGGGTGCGCATTTTTCTCTGTAAAATTCGATATTTTTGTCGAATTAATCCAAGAAATATTCTGTTTAAACGTTTTGCATTTAAAGTCTGGTAAAAGAAACTACCAACCGGAAAGGCCGAAGGTCAGAACTTCCACGGGACAGTACTTGAACCTTAGGCATTTGCAGTTCAGCGAACTCATCGATCTGTGTATTCCCACAAGTCACGACACCATCCACCACGCTCTTATCAAAAACGTTTCTCACGATTGACTGAATACTCAAAAGCTCGTTTTCCGTTTCAATTTCTTCAGTCGACTGGCAACCAATTACCGAGAACACCTGCAACAGCAACGATTTTATGTCCGCCATTGCTGCTACACGAACAGGTTTCGTCGTTTCAGTGACGGTATGCACCAGTGTATATTGAATGATTGATAGGGGTGCTCAGATGAGCCGAAATTTGGCAAACGGATTGGTTGAAGCCTTGTTTTGATTGATAGGGGTGCTCGACATTGCGGAAAAACATATCAGCGCGTGATGTGATTGGCTCAGTTGCAACTTTGACCTTAGAGGTTGATTGATAGGGGTGCTCAAGCACCCGTAGAATTGAAGTAGCTCATTGGCCGAGAGTGTGATTTGATGGACAAGTAAAAAATTGGTTCTAGGGCAGCTCAACATGAAATTTCTAGCTATTTATAGTTTAAAGCAGATACAGGTTATGCTAACTAACGCATGACCGTATGTCATCAGTTTACTGGAAAATACATTTACATCATCTAAAAAGATTCAAGACGTTTTTCAGAGATTAGAGAAAATGCATTGAATGTTATATCTCCGAAAATTCTGACCGGTGCTCTAGCACCAATAGCACCCCCCTAGATCCGCCTCTGATTGAAGGTCTTGGATAATGAGTTTTTTACAATCTTTGCCCTTCAATTAATTTTCTTATCGCAAGGCCTCTTGAAAACAAGCTTTTGTTAAAAGACATCCCTACTTAAAAGAAGAGAATATGAAAATATTAAATATATGCAGTTGTTTGGTTGCAGTTTGAGCGAAAAGCTTTTCATTTCTTTAGATTTTAAGTTAGAACATTGAGTAGGTTGTAAACATTGACAATAAAGTTTTACAGCTTAATTCAATCAATGGTTTTTTACTTTGAACCGGTATAATTAATATTTCATCGGAGGGCTTTTGTTAGATGTCTCATGTACGGATTAAATCTTCACAGTTAAAGATCTACATCTTCTCAAAACTGATAGACAAGAATTCATTTTTGTGAAACATGTTAAATATTATCATAGGAGATAAGGCTCCGTAAAGGCACGACATCAAATGAGTTTTGCGAAGATGATGTTGGCACTCGAGTTGCTTCTTGTAGAATATTTAAGAGTAACACAGATCAAAGAGCAGGTGCGTTGCAATGGAACTGAAGCACGGAGCAAAAGGATTGTTTAAAGTATTTACTTAAACAGTCAGTAGAACAACAAACGTCTTGGTGAATGGTGGATAGTCAATGTTGATTTTTGGTATTATTCCTTATTGCTTGTAGCAACATTTTCTGCAAGAGCCCCTATTTTTTAAAGCAATATACCACTGATTCACGTTTTTCTAGAATGTGATGATAAAAGAACGCAGACTACAATTACACGTAGAAGTGCAATGTTATGAAAAAACTAAATTTTAGAGTTCTTCTTTCTCAACTTTAGGCTATTTTTATTCAAAGGGTTCTTTTAGGTTAAAAGCTTCATGCATGAAAAGAAAATCACCACGCTCGTCAAGTCAACAATGTATCCTCTCAGCTCTAGATTAGAAAAAGGACCAAAAACCTTTTTTTCTTACTATTCAGTCAAGTTCTCTTGTTTTTAGAATAATCTAGATTTAAATCGTTCATTCGCGGCCAGACCTGTTGGGACTTCTCAACAACAAAAGGAAAACATGGCGTCGCACAAACATTTCCTGTTCGTGAAGAAGAGGATAGTTTTGTTTTGTTTTAATCAATTTGCAATGAAAAACAAAAACGGGCTACATTAAATCAGTATAAATGTCAAATAAGTCTTAGAGCGAACTTATTTTGAACTTACAGAGAGAGGTTTTGGTCACGTTTGGAGCAACCAGCGTTTTGCAGTCCCTTGAATCTTCCCTCGATATGCAAAGACTGACATCGGCTTCAGAATACACCATGTTCGGCATTAAATTGATTTTACAATGTATTTTGCTACTACAAAAATCAAAACAAATGTTCATTTACTTGCTGTAAACCTACAGAATTGAATTTCACCATAACAAGCTTGAAAATGACAAAGAAATGGTTGTACTTACGTTTTGGTGCGATTGTACAATACGCACTTTTTCACATTGAAATGTTTAATCACTGGAGGTTGGGAAGACAAAACCTGGGGGCCACATGACAACAAAGGATAGTATCAAGTCTATTGATCCTGTTTGTTGATCAGAACAAAGTAGAGCCTAGGCATATAAGTGTGATTGCAAGTTGAAGTGTGAATTTTTCTATGCAGCCTAGGGCCATCCAAATCCTGGGAGCACAAAAGTAGGAAGAAGTGTTTATTGAACAACTGGAACATTGAAGATTGAGCTCAGCTACAGATAGTTTCATTATCGAATGTTATTCCGAAGCATTAAAAACTCAACATTTCAGAAGTACACAACTCTAACAGCAGTTTTACAAAATGGTTCTTTGCTGTCAATCCTCGTATTGACTACAGCGCTGGCAGAGTTCTTCCATCCATTCTTAAGGATTGTGTTCCTAACACCCAAAAGAGTTCCAAAGTTTATGAATTGTCGTGCCAGTCTTTTTGTGGCTACGTAGGACGCACAACCGAAAGAATTGGGGGAGAGGGAGGATAAAACAACATGTTCCTTCCAACATAAGAAACAAAACTGCTCCTTCAAGAGAAGAGGCTATTCTGCCATCGGACAACATCTTTTAGACAACCCACGTCGTGCCAAAGACTATAATGAAGACTTTTTCAGATATTTGTCAGAGCCAGGTCATTTTTCAATATAGCTGTTTTGGGATCGATCTAAATACAAACAGAAAAGGCCACTACTGTGTAGACCGAAGGAGTTCGTTTTCTCTCTAAGACTTTATCGATAATTTTCTTATAAGCACCCGGTACTGCTTTGGCAACTATACCGGTCTTCTGCTTGCGTTTTTCTGATTGGTCTATTTCCATTCACAACTGGGTATATATTTTCTATCCTGTTCTTTCAGTAACATATTCTGATCAATCAATCAATCAATCAAAAACTTTATTAATGTGTCAAAAAATATTTAGCTTACAAGCTAATTGGGGACACTGATACTACTTAGATGAAAATGTTTGCTTTTTCCAAAGCCATTTTCTACCAGCACTGTTGTAAATGTTTTGCAGCACTGCGAATCTATATCAACAACAGAAGTTTCAAACAGAAGCAAGCATGACTAGAAATATTTTTGCCTTTTTGCAAATTTTGCCTTAAGTAACATTTTTGCAATCCACATTCGATTAGGGGCACATTTCAAAACCAAAGCAACCTTGTGAAAACTTATTTCCATGAAAAACCTGTTCTTTATTTATAAGGAAAATTTGTGACTTTTACAGAGAATAGAGGCTTGTTTAGACATAAAACGAGCGACCATTTAACAAGATATTTGAGGGAAAGGAAAATATTCGTTTTCTTTTTTGCCGTCTTTAAGATGCAATTGGACTCTCTCCTCTTCCAAAAGAGCGATGACACCTGGCTACTCGACCAAAATTATTGGAAAGGAAAATAATTATGAAACTATGATGTGCTATGGTATCCGCCCATTAATTTTCTATTTTTCTTTTGCTTAGCGATCGTGTTTGCGATGTGGAATAGGTTTCACTGCTAAGTTGAAAAAGACTTGGAATCGAACGTTCTGGGACGTGGATCTTGTGTTCAAAATGTTAAAAACTCTTGCCCCATGAAAACGCAGAGCTTAGGGGGTATATCAGGATTCTGGCGGCAAAAACAATCTCATATTGCCCATTCTGTCCTTCTGCATAAAGAGACCATATTCTTCATTGCACAAAGTAAAATTCAAATATATGCGACCTCTTCTATCTACTCCTTAACCATAACTTCCATCTTCTTTTTCCTAAGATTTTCGCATCTCAGTTACGCTACACCGATACTTTGACCATTATCCTTGTCGAAACGCTTTGCTTAGACAAACAATATATCACTAATATTTCGTTTTGACTGAGATCCAAGGCTGCAATGTCATGAAGATCAGGGGTATGTTAAATCTGTAAAGACTTGGCTTGAAAAATCGCTTTATCTGATATTGTATCACTAATATCAAAATGATATCCTTATCCTCTTTGAACATCAGAAGTAGTAATTAATTAAGATAATAATGAATCATAACTGGTAAAGTATGTCAAAGAGAAAGAAACAAACAAAAACCAACAAATTTCAGATATCACTCGCACTCATCCACACATATTTTAATTTACAATTATAAAGCCGTCTAAAATCAAATACAGAAATTTTAAAAACTCATTTCCATCACACATTTTCTTTGCATGAGAGAAACCTAAAAGTTGATGTTTCTGGTGTCATAAACCTGTATTTCGTTTTAACAGTTTTTAAGTAACGTTTTGTTTCTGGATTTCAAAGCGCTCAAAGCTCCAACTTGAAGGCTCGTCGACTTTTGATCCACGCTGATCTGAAGAATCCAACAACAGCTTGTGCAACCATCTTGTGCCTTTGTTGTGCCGATTTTTGCTTCAGTTCAAATTTCCTCTTCGATTCATCCATTTCATCAACGACGTACTGTCTCCTACGGTCATCCCCAATTCTTGATCGCAACTCGTCCTCGATTTCTACCTCTGATAAATAATCAAATTCTTCTCTGAATGACGATAGCCTCGAACCCATTACTGAAAACGAGTCTTCAAATTCCATCTGTGTTACAATCGTCAAGTCGAGATCAGTCTCTTTTTCATCTTCAAATTCCGAGTTTGTTTCGCATTCGTCGTTATAATCCAAATCCGATATTGCGATTGACTCGAAACTTGATCCCCACGATGAATCTGATCCACAATCGGATTCTACATCAGAAAAATCAATGGAAGAGCAATCTGATTCAAAATCCGATAGTACAGAGACGATTGTCAAATCTGATTCTGGATCTGGGAAAAAATCAGAGGCAGATTCGAGTTCATAAGAATCTTTATCAATCTGTCCTTGGTTGATCATGGTTACGTCGTGGACCAGTGAATCGGATGTTACAGCATTGGTGGCGGAAAATATGTTGTAGCTTTTCTGCACCTGAAAAAAAGAATGAAAATCATAATCAGAATCAATTCAGTTTGCGTCTGCTTCTTCATTTAGTATAAGGATTCAATTACCAGGATATGTGCAACATACATAAAAAACAAACTCTACTTTATTTTAAAATAATTGATAACAGAGTGCAGAAGTAAGAAATTGAGAATAAGAAATGAAAATATAAGCTTGCAGAAAACAAAATTTGACAAGAATAGGTTGAAATAATCACTAACCATCTTTGTCTGGCATCCTCTTGGTGTCGATGTTGCAAATGGTTGGGAAATATCGAGACAAGGCTTGATATCTGAAAGGAAAGATTTGAAAGCTACTTTTAGAAGAATTTACTAGGCGTGAAAGCACTTTTATCAATTTCTTTGAGTTACAAAGATGTCAGTCTTTGTTATTCTTTCTTTAAAAAATCTTCCTTTAAATGATTTTCAGTTAGCGTAAATAACAAAGCGAGATTACAAATGCGTGAGTACTCGTCAGTACAGTGGTCGCATATTTTAGTTTCATCATATAGCCATTCTAATAATTCTAAAACCCATGATTTTATAATCAATTTTTTTAACACTTTTGCTTCAGAACACCAATAATTATTTTCAATACTTCATTCTCACCTGCAACTGTGTTGGTTCTCTTTGACCTTGTAGAAGAATTCAGTCTTTGCTTATTCTTCCAATTTCTTGTCAACGAACGCTTTGTGCATTTTGCTGTGTATTCTAAAAAGCAATTTCAAACATAGAAACAAACTTAACTTACTTTTTAGGATCATCAAATTTAAAAGTAAAAAAAAGTAAAATCTTTAAGAACTCACCATCTTCAACACTGCATTTGGAAAAACAAATTCCCATCTTGATTTCGATTGACGATCACAAGATGGCAGACGTCTCTAAGAATGAATGTTAAAATGATTTCCCAAGATTTGGAAAATGAAAACTTTGCTTTCCTTTCGAAGATAACAGCAGCCAGTATTACCTCAGATGCTGAATCGATCTGAAAATCTACTTCAATATCCGACGCTTCGCCTTTTATACCCTAAGAGCGTTACCAATAAATTTGACGTCACAATCTCAGAAATGATCGCTGACGTAATAATTGAAAACTTGTATAGTAAAAAGAGATGTGTAGCAAATTAAGAAATTTGCAGTAAAAGCGAATTTGAATTAATTTTACATTACCAGAAACAACTTTACGAGACGATGCTTTGAAAAACAAAAGCGGTGCGGTGCTTCAAGGCAAAGTAGCCAGAATTACGATAAGTAGAATCAGAGACTTCTAATTTCCAAGATGGCAAGAGTGAAAACTGTTTTTCTGAACATGCTTTAACGAGCGTTTTTCCAGAAAAATGGAAATTTACAAGGAGAAAAAGGGAGAGATGGTTTTTTTAGGAAGTTGGTTATTGGTAATAAAGACAATGAAACTTCTCAAAAAGTTATTGCAAGTCGATACAGCATTGAGAGAGAAGGTAAGGACAAAGAGTGTAGGAATCTTTTTGTAAGACACTCGGTTTAGCAAAACGCAGAACTTTCGACATCAATTTTCATTCATCTTTTTGGCATAGGCCATCCACTTTTACACAAACACGCGGTCGCGTGAAAACGAGGCAAATAGATTACGTAATCCCTAAAAAGAGTTCCTTATTGGGAGGGGTTTGAAACAACTTAAATTTACCATCTAATAATATAAAATATATCATTGTTCTTACAATCCAACATACACCCCTCCAAGGTAAATGTTGTCCTCAACATTGAATCTGTTTTCTTGAAACTTTGCTTCCGGGTCACTGTTTCTCACTTCAGTTCTTGTAATGGCGCCTTACAACAACTGTCCAATCAACTCTCTTCACTTTTGTATCACTGCAACCCGACAATTTGTCTATTCAATACAATATGTTGTATCAGTTAAACTGCTCGCAGTCAACAATTTTTCTTCTGGTGAGTCACACCTTTTGTTGATGTCGTTTATAACAATTTTATGCAAATTTTAACGATTAAGTGGTCCATTTCCAAACACGATAATGTTTTTTTTGTTATGAATAGCTATTAAAAGTACTTTGTCACAATGTTCCACATGATGTGTCTTTATGTACAATATATCGGTCTAATTGGTAGCATTCTGTGGCCTCCTGGTATGAACATCGGGTGAATGAAGACTGGTGGTGTTACAGGAAACTGTCCTTGGGCGTTTCCGAATGGTTGCTGTGGAAAAACTGAATTAACAAAATAGTTAGCTGAATTTCCTGGGGCTGCGTACATCAACCGAGTTGGAGGTAAGCGGGTTCTTTTGGGTCTTCTGATTTGTTCTGATTCTGGGCTAGCAGGTAGGTACACATCTGCTTCTGGTCTCAGGTTTGTTGCATATTCATTGTCAGCTGGTTCAGGGTTTTGTTCTTGTTCTTGAATTCTTGGTTCTCCCTCTGCAACCTGTGCTTGATTGATAGTATTTTCTGTTCTGGGTGCAGCTGTTTCTTCAATATCATTTGGGTAAAACCCAATTTCTTCTGTATCCTCCTCCTCCCCTTGGAATGATTGGTCTGCTGTTGTGTTATGACTATCTGTTTGTTTATGTTTCCGAGCTGACTTATTTCTTCTTGATGGGATTGGATCATCAGGAGTAAGCACGTCACATGGGAGCAATAGGTTTCTATGAACAGTGCGTTTTCGACCTCCACCCTTTTCTGGTTCTATGGTATAAACCGGGCTTGTTTCATGAAGTCGACTTAAAACTTTATAAACCTTGTCCTCCCAGTAGGAGCGGATCTTGCCAGGTCCACCCTTCTCTGAATTCCGTACAAGTACTCGATCTCCTGGATAGAGAGCAACTCCTCTGGCTTTCTTATCATACTGTTCTTTACTTTGACTTGCACTTTTCGCGGCATGTGTGAAGGCTGTTCTGTACGCCTCTTGCATTGCAGATCTCCATTGTTTGACATAAGATGGATAATCTTTCTGTGAACTATGCTTATTTATGTTGAATGCAAGGTCGATAGGCAAACGTGGTGATCTGCCAAAAAGCAGGAAAAATGGAGAATTTCCAGTAGCATCATGTTTACAGCTGTTATATGCATGTACAACTTTCGGGAGGTGATCACGCCAATGGGTCTTATATGTTTCTGGTAGTGTTCTTAACATCGATAGCAGTGTCCTATTGAATCGTTCTGCCTTACCGTTTCCTTCCGGGTGATACGGAGTGGTTTTTGAATGGGTAATATCAGCTGCTCTTTCTAGGTGGTGGAATAATTCATTTTCAAACTCCCCACCCTGGTCGTGGTGGATTTTTTCTGGGAACCCAAACCGTAAGATGAAGTCATTGTAGAGGTACCGTGCTGCAGTTTTCCCTGACTTGTCCTTTGTAGCATAGGCCTGGGCATATCGGGTGAAATGGTCCACCACTACCAGGATGTATTCATAACCACCACTACTCTTTTCCAAGTGCATGTAATCAACTGAAACAATCTCCAATGGAGCTGATGTGATAATAGGCTGTAGGGGCTCTCTTTGCTTAAACGTTGGTGGTTTTTGCTTCAAACAGCGACAGTTCCTCGTTATGAAATCAGTTATATCACGTTGCATGTGAGGCCAATAGAAGCGTTCTCTAGTCAACTGTACCACCTTTTCGGCACCTATATGCCCCATTTTAACGTGAAGCTCATCATACACTAAAGTTCGCAGTGCTCTTGGTAAAACGATCTGTGTGTTCTGTCCTGAAATTCTCGTTAAGATGCCATCACTATCAAGTTTTAATCTGTTCCATTCATAAGCAAGCAATCTGGTGTTATAGTCAAGCTCCTTCAGTTGATTTGGCGTTGGTCTGTTTCCCGTTTTCATCATGTTTACAATCTTCCGGATACTTGCATCCTTGTCTTGTTCTTTCTGCACACTGACTTTGTCTATCTTCTTTGCAGCGAAACTCTCATCGGGAAGGTGATTATTACTGAAAAGAGCGGCTGATGGATCTGTAAGCACATATACCCAAGCAGTGTCCTCATTAGATCTCTGTTGCACAACATCAATTGTAGCATCGACCATATCAAGTGTACTTTTGTTTGTGCATGTTGACATATACTTCTCCATATCATAAGGAAGTCTCGAGAGAGCATCAGCATCACCATTGGATTTTCCTGGCCTGTACTGAATTGAGAACTTGAAATCTGCTAATTCTCCAACCCATCTAAGAGCAGTTGCATTCAATTTTGCTGTGGTTAGTACGTATGTGAGTGGGTTGTTATCAGTGAAAACTTGGAATGGTGGAGAATAATACAAGTAGTCCCTAAAATGATCAACAATGGCCCATTTCATGGCGAGAAACTCAAGCTTCCCTGAATGCATGTGGTAATTTCTCTCACTACGAGTTAGAGTCCTGGATCCATATGCAATAACTCTGAGTTTCCCTTCTTGACGTTGATATAGAACGGCCCCAAGTCCTTTCTGACATGCATCAACATGTAAGATATATGGCAAGCTTGGGTCAGGGTAGGCCATAATTGGTGGACTAATCAAGTGTTTGATCAACTCTTGCAGTGCTGTCTGATGTTCTTCTGTCCATTCTACTTTTGATGATGATGACACTTGCCCATTGTGATTCTTTCTGTCTCTTCTCTGATATTGGCTTTTGACTTGGCTTTCATTAGAAGTGAGTAGCTCATATAGTGAACTTGCAATTATTGAGAATCTTGGTATGAAACGACGATAATAGCTAAGCAAACCTAATAGGTGTCTGACTTCACCAACTGTCTTTGGTATTCTATCTTGCAAAGATGTCACTGCTTTGATGTTGTCTGGATCCATTATATAGCCTTTATCGGACACAATGCGCCCCAGAAACTTGACTTGCTTCTTGAAAAATGAACATTTACTTGGTTTCAATTTGATGCCATGTTGGTGTAAGCGTTGCAATACTTGGCGGACATGTTCTACGTGTTCCTCAAAAGTTTTGCTATACACAATGATATCATCGAGGTATGGAAGGCAGGTTCTATCTCTTAGATCACTTAAACTTTGTTCCATGAACCTCTGGAAGGCAGCAGGCGCATTAGTAAGTCCGAAGGGAATCCGTTCCCACTCAAAGAGTCCCCACGGTGTCACAAATGCTGTTGCCGGTTGACTTTCTCGTCCAACAAACCCCTGGTGGTAAGCTTTACCTTGATCCAGGGTGCTGAACCAGCGATTTCCACCAAGACTGTCAAGGGCTTCCTGTACTCTCGGCAATGGGTGCATGTCCCTGACAGTTTTCTGGTTCAACGCTCTGTAATCAACGCATAAACGCAGTGTCCCATCTTTCTTGCGAACACAAACACAGGGTGACGAATATGGCGATTTTGATGGCTTGATAAAATTTCTGTTCAGCATGTCTTCAATGTACTGTTTTACTTCTCCATACAGTGGACGTGGTATTGAAGCATAGCTCTTCTGAATCGGCTGTGGGTCTGTCAGTGTGATGTCAAGTTGTAAGCCTGGAGCACATCCAATATCGCTATCACCTGCTGAGAATGATTGAATTTCTTCACGAAGCATTTTCTTTACAATTTCTGTTTCATCATGTGTCAGACCACTAAAGTCAATTTTTGACAAGATACTGTCTGCATCCTTCTGCAGGACTGTCTCCATTACGCAGTTTTTTAATGTTCCTTTGTGCTTGTCCATGGTTTCACTATCAGTTTTAGGACGAATCAATGCAGGCGTAACTGATCTGATCATTTCTAGCTTTCCCATTGGTGTTCTCCCTGGCAGCATAATGTCATGATTTGTCTTGTTTACCACTTGCAGCTTCAATATATGTGAAGTTCCTTTCTTCAGTGTCAAAACTGACTCTGTCACACTTAGTCCTGATGGTAACATAGAAGGTAAACTTGGCTCAAAAATCATTGGGGTGTGTCTCTCCAGGTAGCTTGTATTTGCTCTGCAAGGAACATCAATTGTTGTGTTCTTCTGAATAACAAAGTCTTTCTTAGTTGTTTTGACATCACAAACCTCATTTTGAGTTTGAGAGTTATACACTAGGTGAATTAATGCAGATGCTTTGTGGTCCGACATGTTTGTGAAGCTTCTCTGAATACTACTCAAAACTGCCTCCTTTCCAACAGAGTCTTCAATGTTACCACAAATAATCTCCTCGATCACATTATATCCAATAATTGGCCTCTCTATTGTTTCTGCTGTTACAAGAAAAGGTACCTGAATAGTCTGATTTTTCCCCTTGTTGTTGATTAGCTGAAAGCTGAGTTCTGTCCAGCCTTTATATGGAAGAATATCCCCACTTGCTGTTACAAGATTCAAACATGCACCATCTCCTAAAAATTCTGATATGTCCCTGATAGGTCTGTCAGAAAAACAATTGTTAATCAGTTCAGAAGAAATTAATGAAACCTGTGAACCTGTGTCCCAAAGAGCCTCAATTTGAGTCCCGTTTAATGTGCACTGCACATGACACCTGCTACCAACTAACTTTGAAATTCTACCTTGAACCTTTGGAGTAATATGGCAAGGAAAAATATTTGGGTCTTGTCCATCACCAAGCCCCCTATCAGACAATGTTGAGTTCTCAGCCAACTCCTTAATTGCTAGGCACAATATTTTATGTTCATGCCATTGTTTCTTCTGACATTCTACACTACAATATCTAACAGACTGACAGCCACCACACTGTGGAAACTTCTTGTTATTATTTTCTGGGAGACGACAGTTATTACAAAAAAAATGGGGTTCAACTTTCGAGGCTAACGACCACCCCTTCTCGGAAGCCTCCCTCCGTTTCCCGATTTTCTGTTCCTACAGCCACGGAAATAATGGTCAGGGCTACCACAATAACTGCAATGATCACAATCGGTTTTGCCTGTTTTCCTGCAAGATTCACATGTTGGTCTAGGCAAGCTGCTTTTTTGTTGTTCTTTTGCATAATTTGTTGTTTTCATTTCTGCAAGTTCAGTTTTTAGAGCTGCCACTTCACACTTGATCTGCTCAACAGCTGCCAAAATTTTGTCATTATTTTCTGAAATTTTGGCTTGTTTCTGGAGATTTTTTTCCACAATTGAAATTTCATTTACTTTGGATGCTTTGTTTTGGAGTCCAAACTTTTTCTTTCTTTCAGACTCAGCCAATACAGCTAATTGCATTTGGTTAATCAGTTCCTCATCATCAACATTTGAATTTTGCAGGTATGGCCTTATGCGCCCACGAATAGCATCACTCAACAGACCTGTCTCCACTGATTGCCGAAAAAGGCCTGTGACCAAAACTGGACTATACTTAAGGTCATTTTCAGACTCTTCCCTGCATGCAAAAATAATTTTCTGTCTGCAGTCCATTGCACGTATCAAAAAGTTAACTGGGTCTTCCTTGGGCTCCTGTGACATTGTAAGCAATTCTTGATATAGATCTGTTGCACTACCCTCTTTATAATGGGATCTCAAAATTTTCCTCAACCTTGCAAGGGATATTTGCCCTGAACCTTCTAAATAGCTTCTTATTTGTAGACCAGGAGAGATAGAATTTATTATTGCATTCACTACTTCCCCCTCAGAATATCCTCTGTCCAACCCAACTTCAACTTGCCTTATTAGGGATACATAAGACAATTTTTCCCTTTGACCCACCTCCCCAATCTGACCTATAATCTTAAATTCCCTTCTAAACATGCTAGTCTGCATGGTCAGATTATCAGGCTGGGTAGTGTGTGTTGTCTTATTTCTTGTGTTATCCCCCTCTGCACCTTCTGCACACCCTGGGACTGTAGATGTTTCTTCTACTTCATCCCCTTCCAAGGGAGGGGGTGACAACTCACCAAATTTCTTTAATTCATTAAGAAGGGCTTCAAATTCTTGTTGGGTTGATTTTTCAAAGTTTTCTTCATAAACTGCAGACAATAATTTAACGAGCTTTAATCGACTCTTACCAACAACATCTTTCTTCGGCACTTTTAATTTGTCTGCAAGTACTTTCAATGTCTCCAATTCCAGCAAATACAATATTCCCTCAGCCTGCAACAATAATTCCTCCATCTCTGCCATCCTTGTACTAAATGTCCCTCACGGGGTGCCAAAATATGTAAGACACTCGGTTTAGCAAAACGCAGAACTTTCGACATCAATTTTCATTCATCTTTTTGGCATAGGCCATCCACTTTTTACACAAACACGCGGTCGCGTGAAAACGAGGCAAATAGATTACGTAATCCCTAAAAAGAGTTCCTTATTGGGAGGGGTTTGAAACAACTTAAATTTACCATCTAATAATATAAAATATATCATTGTTCTTACAATCCAACATAAACACGTTTTTCAATCCATCCAGTGTTCAATTTAAAAGCTTCTGATATGACGGTCTGGTTTCATGTTGTACTCCGCGGCGATATTGGCCTCCGTTTTCTTTGGTGTTTGTACAATTTGGGCGTTGTTTTTATAAGCAACGAATGCTCTTGCAACTAGCTCCTGTTCTCTCCCCGCAATTTTTGGTCCTCTCAGGTACAAGAAACTTTTGAACTCTTCCATTTTCATTTTTGAAAATTGAAACAAGATCAATCGTGCGCCGCTTCTTTCGATCAGCGACTTGCGTAGCCTGTTAGAGCACGGACTTTAAAATAGCTGTTCTCTAGATAACAGGCTAAAGAATGAGAATTCACAAATTTGAACACGATGAACGCCATGTTAAATGATGTGTGCGTTACGCGTGCACACAAACATTCATTATTAATAAATGAACGATCGAAATCTCGTACGGTTGGCGTGATTTCCTTACCCTAGTTTTAGCATTTGTACATCCGTACTTGCCAGTAGCAGCAGTTCCCGGTAAGAAAAACTAGGTGCACTTTAAACTCTAGTGAGTGTCGCCATCGCAAGGTATTTCACTCGTATACCGATAATTACCCCTTGGTATATTGTCATAGTCAGTCGTGTAATTTGTTGAAATAAGCATCGTGTATTTGTATCGCAGTGCTGATCTGTATCGCAGAAAGTACATAAAATTAGAGAAAGAATAATGTAGAAAGAAAGGTTGCAATATCGACTGAAAGCATAAATCAGACAATCAATCAGACCTTCTGCATAATTTCGCACCTTCGTAGTTATATTCGTCGTCATAAAGAAAGAATAGAAAGATAGCTCGAAAGAAAGAATCAATGGAAGCCCAAAAAGTGTTGTCATTGCCTTCTATACCTGAGGCCAACACGCCTGTATAGGTGGCAAGATGCAACAAAAAAGTGTTCCATAGCGTTCATTGGTACAAAACAAATACACCTCACGACGCGTGAGACAACAGACTGACCGTAATGGTTTGAAAATATAAGAAATGATGAAATGATTGAATGGTAGAGTTCAAGAATAGAAAAGCAAAGATACTCGATATTAAGTTAGTCCAAAGTATCTCATTAGTTAATGAATATAGTACATGGCAGTTCTAATCACAGCATTACATATTACGTTTCAAAATCTTTTTTAAGGCATAAAGACTGACGGCAACGAAGAGGAGCAGGCCAAGAGAGAACGACAGCAAATTCAAAAAGGATAAGAGAAGTAAGAATAAAAGTTGCAAAATCTTTTAAATACCCACTACTAGGGATGATAGAGACAGGTCATAAAAAGACTCGAGACAAAGATAACGGAAGATGCGACATCCAAACCGTTCGGTACTGGCATGAAAATGCTTAAACGGAATATGCAAAAGGATCAAACTGGCGAACGCATCTTAACTACTTGGAGTCTCGGCTGCATATACGATGCTTATTTATCAGCTGCGCCTTTGAATCTCACACAAAACCCAGTCCTACTTACAAAGTATGTTGTACATGTACAATAATAAACTGATTCCTTACAGTAAACGCACGCTCGTTTCGGGTAGCTACGTTATTCTCTTAATTTACGGTCTATAATTATCTAACTATTGATGCTAAGATATGACATCTAAACGCTTTATCTACGATAAGCTGCTACAACGCAGCAAAGGCAGATAATTTGAACAAAATACAAACGAGGCAGAAATGCGACAGTAAACTGTTATTAAATCCATTCTTAGACGGCAGTGGCGCTCTTTCACATTTGAAACGGACTTGTAGAAGGATCAGGAGGATCATTTAATAAATACCATATTGTATAGTGGCAGTGTGGGGGACTTTGAATAGCAGATATATCTGGGGTATTTTGCCATGTATCTCACCGGTGAACTTTCTTGGTCACTTTTTGTCAGCGGAATAAAGGAAATCAGTAAGTACATGGGAACATCAGCCCAAGAAAAACCTTAAACCTCATTTGTCTGATGAAAGCAAGTTAGACAGTTCACACATACGATAGCAATTGCTTTAAAGACTCATTGCTAACAACGGGCCTTTGCGAGCGTGGTGACGATCCAAACAATGGCAGTAAGCTTCTACGGATTAACCAAAGTTGGTTTCAGACTGTCTGAAAATGCATTATGGGATGCTTGCGTAGGGCAATGGCTCATTGTTAGCAATGAGTCTTAAAGGCAAAATTGCCGATATTTGTGGTGCCCAATCACAAGAGAGTATGCATAGGCAAATTTCGCATGAGTTTCTCTAGTTAGTCACCAGTTGAGTTAAAGTGGCTCCGTAAATACATTTGGTCAAACAGATGGATATATGATCTTATATGTGGGTAGATATGCACAATTGTTCAAAGTAAACTAAACAATCCTGGCATCATACTTGGATTTCTTCGGAACTGTTAATCTTGCTACATCTTTAAGCGTACACTTTTAAGCTCTCTGATTTGGTTAGTGTTAAATCTTCTGTTAAAATGCTAAAACCAAAATCTTCTAGTTAGTGATATCCCTATTTAATAGGTTCTTGCTAAATAGTCAGTGTCGTAGTGTTTTCCATTTCCTGTTCTAATCGGCAATCTTTTCCTCTTTGAGCCCTTTTCTGCCCTCTGGCCAGTTGCCCGCAGAAGACACAGCTCCATCATGATATTCCGCTTCCTCCTCCTTGACGCCATTCGAGGCAACATATTGTGTATTCTCCAATCTACAAAAAAGTTAGCGGGTAAGAAAAGGCACGTTCATTTTTTCATTTTTCATTTTCAATTCATTTAAGGAAAGTTGCCCTTCAGCGGGAGCTGATTGCTTATAAAAAACCTGAAAATACCTAGATATGGGTTGGGTGGATAGGGTTGCAACAAACTTTGCTTCGTTTAAACTTCAGGTTGTCTTGTAACGTAGGAGGAAGAAAACTGTACCAACATAAAGTTTATATACCCGAGGCAAATGCACACTTGCACGCTTGTTGCTTTGGTCGCATAAAAAACACAATGTAATGCTTATTCGAGCACTGCTACAATGATTAAAAACTCCATAGTCGTGCTATCTGTGTTGAAAAACAAAAGCCCATAGGAGCACCAAAGACGTACCCTGTCACATATTAAATGTGATTAAATTTCATTTAATCAAGCGTTATTACCTGGTTATGATTCTTTCATCTTCTGCGCCAAACTCCTCGCCCATCAGAGTCGGTTCTCCAACAAGCATCACATCTGTGGTCGTTCCTGCTCCTCTAGCACCAGCAATAGGCGATGGCTTCCTTTTGCTCGCTCTTTCCGCTGATGCAGAATTGCCAAGTTTACTATTGTTCTCGTTGGTAGCAGTGGATGCCCTTCTCTTGCGGCGCTTCGGAGCTTGTTTTTGACCACCTTCAGCTATTAAAAAAAGCGATTATCAGCAATAACCAAGTTTTCTTTGCGAAGTCCAGAAAAGTTTCAGAGTTACGTAGCTTTCATTAATACAAGTGAGTGAAGGATACAACTACATGCATTTACAGTGGAACTATGAAGCTTGGGTAAGCCACAAAGACGACCCAAATCAAATGGGATGAAAACATCTTTAATCAGGAGCTATAAGAATGGCCGAGTTTACTGATGGTTGCAGAAAAAGCTGCCATAGGGAGGTTCAGAAAGTTAACCAATGTTAGAATCATTGTTTCCTTCGGTCAGAATCAGTTCGACTCCTTTAACACTATGCAATCTTCTACGCTGAAGTATGTTTATAGCAAATAACTCCGAGTCTTGATTTGAACAAAATAGTAACCTCGGCATTATTGATAGTATTGAAAAATGTAAAAAAACTTACGACCACTACTCTTCCACGTGCGTTCCATTAAAGGACCAGGAAAATCTAAAATCGAAAAGAATTGGTTTAAAATTAAGACTGAATATGATTTAATTGAGGACAAATTCTTGTATATTGTTTCAGGCAATTGTTATTAAAGTACACCAAATTTGTTTGGGATTCTTTATGGCCATTTAACATAAAGCTTGGGTACCACGATTAGAGAATTCTTAGAAAGTAGAGGCTACATTAATGGTCTATGAGTATAGTATCAATTTTGAAATTAGTTCTATTGGCTGCATGAATGAGCATGTAACTTCTTGAAAATAAAGCTTCTCAACAAAAAATGTCAAAGGAAAAATTTCTTCGCGTAGACAAATTGGCAAATACAGTAGATAATTTTTCTCCCTCGACTAGTAATTGCGTGCAATTTTTTGGTACCTATGATTTTCGCATCGATGAAAGAAATCGATATTTAAGACTTTTAGTTTTCCAACCAAGTTGCCTGCTAATCATTTGGTCTGCCCGCAATGATGGCTTGCGTATCGATAGATTCGCATAGATTTTATCGAATAGATTTTATCCATTTCCTTACCGTTCAGATTTTTATAACTTATTTGCATTTGAAACAAATAGCTAAAAGTCTTTTGCTCCTTGACGGAGTCATTTCCCTTAAACCTCTGCTGGAAGGTAAATAGCAGACTCTGCAACGTCAAGATGAATGATGAACGTAAAAAATGGTCAAAAAACTGGTTGCAATCGAAATGTACAAGGACATTTGTCAAGGAAACTTGGTAAGCAAAAAGTGTTCGTGTGGATGAGGTCACAGCAAAATTCATTAATGCGATTTTCGTATGACTTTGCTCGAAGAAAATAAAGTATTAATGAACGACTTTCTCCAAAAACAAAGACAAACCAATGGTCTTCAGGAGATCTTTAGGTAGTTGAACAACAGAGTATACTTAACTCGTTTCTATTCCTTTCAATGAGAGATTCTCATCATGGATACGCAAGGTTGGAAACCTGTACTCACTCACAGATCCACACAAAGTTACAGAGCCAGCATCGCTGCCTCAAATATCTTCACTTTTTGTAGACAAAAACAAAAGTCTTATGTTGCATGTTTTCGATCCCATTCACAGCTGGCAACTTGAAAACTAAAACAGCTGGCAGCAGTGCGTTGCTAGAATCTTACGTGTGAGTTGCCAATTAAAAGTATTCGTTTCCCTTTTCACTTGCTAGCGGTGTCTTTGATATGCTTTTAAAAAATTAGAAACTTCGGAACGAGAAACAACTTCTGAGGCTGATAGCTCACGTTTCACTGGATGGCTCAATCTTTTCAGATTATAATCCAGGACACTTTCCATTCTTTTCGTTTGAAAGCGGTTCATATTCATTTTATTCATAAACAAAAGTCGGAAAGTCAATATAAGAATAACAAAAATATAAACAGGCCGTGCAAAACATGTAACCAGTTGAAAAACAAGTTGCAGCGAGTGTTAAAGAAAGGTAGATCAACTGAAAGGAAAAATCACGAGACATGAAACGTCGCAAGAAACGTAAACGAAACATCAGACGAAACGTCAGTAAAACGTCCAAAGAAACATAAGTGAAATGTCAGTGAAACGCTAGAAGAAACATCCGAGAACGTGCATGGAACACATGAAAGTACTTCAATGAGCGAAGGTCTATGCTCATCAAGGACTAAATCATCTGGCAATATGTATTATACTTAAGCGAGCAGTATCAAAAAGTATATACATGATACATCAGGAAATAGCTTGGAAATAAGACGGGATCAAAATTCATCTTGAAGAAAATTCCAACCAAAAGAAAAAAATCGTTATCAATAACAAAAAGGGTTGCTCCCGACAACTGCAGAAAACATAGATTTTTTTCTAATTCTTTGATAACCATTAAAATCTAATCGTGGCATTTAATGCTGGGATAGTTGTCATACCATTCTATAAGCAACAGTTTCAGAAACGATTTGCTGTCTTCATCAATATTGCTGTAGTGGTCAAAATATAATTAGCTTTTAATTAACTGTTATCCCACAAGTGTCAACCTAAGTCAACCTAATGATCGTCATGTTGTTTTGGATCAACGTGAAAGTCGAACCTGATATTTAGCAATATCTTTTTTTGGAAAAATAAACCAATTAGCTCAAATCAACTACTAGATACAAAATTGAAAAAAGCAAGTAAAGGTATATATTAGATTCGATGCTGTCATCACTGGGCATTCTTGTTGCCGTTGTGCTTTTTATTCAGCAACACTAATCTGAGCTCGTTGAGGTTTTGAATGGAGAGACAATTCTTGCTTTGTAAGTAATTCCTTCTTTAAATATTGCTGATTGCATGGATCCGGCAGCCCCGTAGATTCCTTAAAGACATTGCTTTTCATGCGCCCTGGTGAAAACTGCCTCTGCTTCTAGGTTATCGAGATAGTAACTTTTCATTGATAATTATCTTGATTATCAGAGCCTTATCCTGAACGATTAGTCACCTATTGAATGGCAAAGGCATTGCAATTTAAGGCAGTCGTGAACAGTTTTTACCCTGCAATAGCGTAATATTACGAAAATGAAGTTTTGAAAAAGCAAAAATTTTAGAACATACTGAAGCTTTTCGTCTGACATTCTTCAGAGTAGAATTTTGTACCAGCCTTACTTTGAGGCAAGCAGAGAAAACTGCAAGCAGTAGCATAGCAAATAATGTTTTGATGTGAATATCATCACAACTGCTTTTAATGGCAAAATTTGACAAATCTTTGCCTGCAAACTGAAGAGTTTCAGCTGTGCCAATGCTTTAAGGAAACTTTCGTATGAAGAATGACGAGGACTAAAAGGTCGAGTTAAACTTTGGCTAAAAACAAAAGTCATTGTAAACTGTCATTACGAAGAAGAACATTTTCCTCAGAAGCAATCACTCCTCTACAGTGGGGCACCAGCTCAAGAAGGACGCTTTTGTTCCATGGCTGCTAAGGTGGTAACTGAGGCAATGGTTCGTTCACCCTGATGTATGCAAGACCAAGTATCCATTCCTAAAAACTTCTTATAAGTTCATGAAAAATTGAAGAAAAGAGGACTCAAGTATACAGTAGATCAACATAGATAATTACGTCTGACTTCTCTTGACTAAATAAAGTTAACCTTCTTGCAAAAATACTAAGAGAAATTCTAGAGGGAGCTGATAGAGTGATTTATGAAGTCCAATTGCTTGCACCGTCGTCAGATAATCCATTTCTCCACACAACGTCTAACGAAATCATAAACAACGTCTTCTATCCTTTTCACGGAAATGAATTTACCGGTATATGATCAAAAATAAATAAAAAATACTGATTGATTCCAGAAAAAAATTCAAATTCAGGGCAGATAGCTGATATCAACGATTGCTGGACAGATAGTACAACTTTAACTTAACACAAAAACGAAAAGATGATATGCACGGGTAAAGAAAATTAACCCAGAAAAAAGCATTACTAATAATCATAAGAAAATTCTAAAAACAGTAATAACTAGACCGCTTTCGGACATCATAAATGTATTAAAAAGCTGATGATAATCATGGGTACGATTCCCCACCAGGATTATTGCTGATCCACCAAGGTATCTCATCTCAAAGTAGTTACGGAGATTTGCTTGCGCCGTATCGTACCGGGATCTCCATCAAACTGTAATCGCCAGCTTCGAATTGGAATCAGTGAACACAAGTCTAATTTTTCAAGATCTTATCAACCTGTATTAGCTATTTTTTAAAAGTAGTCAGAATCTGTTTGCTTTTACATTATACTTTAGAAGATCTGTCTCTTTTTCAAGTTGACAACAACCGAGGCTGCTTAGTTTGTGACGGCTTCTTTTGTAAATATGTTGTTATTTTATGACCGTTTGAAGGGCCGTCACCGATTATTGCATTATAAACGAGAACAACAAAGCGGCAAAAACATTGAATTCAACCTCTTATCAAGCAATAAACCTCTTATCAAGCAATACAGACTCACTTAATACGTTATTTTTCTTTTCTGTTTATCAAAATAATCAGTTGATTTACCAACTCGCAAAGATTGTGCTATCATGTCTGGGCAGCGATAACAGCAAAGAAAACTCGCTAACTTCACCTTGCCTAAGGGGTAGACTTGAAACCAGGTATTTGCATTTGTTGAATATTGGCCAACCTAGATGAGATGTTGGCTACCTGGAGAAGGTGATGGTGGAAAATCTCTCAAAACCATTTGAAAATCTAAGAGAAAATTGCCTGGATTCATAACTACCAACTATTCTCATTGGGCTCTTTTGATTCAATTTTTTTATTTCATTTCCAATCTTTAAAGGAAGGCAAAGTTTCAACAATAGGATTGATTTGCAAGAGTTTCTCCACCAAAAAAATTTATTTCGACCGCGATCAGCGTGAAATATATGGAATCGTGGGATATAACACAAGATCATGTCACAGTGTGTTTAGCTGAGCACTTTCGCAGTTTTACAAGCATGAATACTTGGTTGCTTCAAATCTCTTTGACCCATAAACAAGCCAACAAGCTCTACAGAACAAAGTGCCACCCTCTTTTACTTTTTGATTAACCTCATAACTACTGATACTTCCCAATCTCAAGAATAGCGATACCGTTGCGGAGCAGCCCCTGGAATATTGATGGAGTGTAATGTATCAGTGTAGTGTATCATGATAACTGGAATGCCTTGTAAGGGTCAAATAGGCCACAGGCGCCAAACATTGACCAACGCTATCACCATTTTACTTTTCAGTGGTTCTAAAACTGCTAGTAAGTAAAGTAGAGAAAGAAAATTCTGGCATAAAAATCAAGTAAAGGGCAACGTAGTAGGGTACCACAATAACGGCTCCCACGCCATCGTTTTTCTTAAAAACTAGGCCAATGCCTGTATGCTTGAAAAAGGAAATGAACTAATTATAAAGGGGGTTGGAGAATAAAAAGACCTGAAAGGATGGTTGATGCCCTAGGAAGATTGAAATAAGGACAAAAAACAGGAAGGTGTATAGGAGACGATAAAAACTGCATGCAGCTTTGAAGATATGGCTCGGTGTTTGCTACATAATAATGTCGATCTGAATTTTTCAACGTGAAAGCTTAGCTTTCACAGAAGCAAAGATTGTTTGCATTTGAAATACCCGTTGTACACGATTCAGATTAGTTCCACTGTACGAACAAAAAGAAAAAGGTAGCTCTTAGGAAGAGAATGACAAGACAGAGCATGAAATGATGAGTGTTAATGCACTGTAGAAGGATCAAGAAGCTCTACTCTTGATCCATGTCGTAGGCTGCTGTTCTCATTTACGCAGTGGCGTACCCAAGGGGAGAATGGAGGGGTCCGGACCCCCCCACTTTTCTAAAATATGGTCCTCGAGATTTGTCCAAAAACGATGTAAAACTCATTGGGGGGGGGGGGAGTATACTGCATGCTTGTGTCAATAGCAATTGTAAAATGCTTTGCTATTTACCGTAACTAACATGAATCATGGGGAAAAATTTGCAAAAGGGCGTTTCCCCGCATTTGCGAGTGTTTGAAGGGCGTGGTCCCAAAATTTTCTGGGAGCTGCGCCCCAGACCCCCCCCCACTGCTACAGTCCTGGGTACGCCACTGCATTTACGGTAACTAAAGCGCTATAAGCCTATGAATCGTTGATATAACAGAGATTTGGAATGTATTTCACAAAGCATTTTAAACGATTTGTAGACAGAATAACTAGCTTCGTGGCTTTGACAGCATTAAATGTCGGTCAGTTAAGATTGATGATCAATCAGAGGAGTTTTTGATAGTCACAGAGGCAAGATCCACATATTTCTACAATTGTAACTGCATCTTTGCAAAGTTTCAATATTGTAACTGAAAGTCTCTTATGTTGGACCAGGCAAATGGGGCGTGTAATTCTGTGTACACCATTCTAAATGCATCTGAATAGGGATTGAGTAATGGGCACTTTACACGCAAGGCACCCATGTGACAGCACCAAATGTTTCCGCTGGCATTAATCACAAATAATAACTAGTAACAAAGAGCTAGAATTTGTAAGCAAGATGGCTGCATAGAGGCTGCACAAAGGCGCACCAAAAGAGTCTGACGAGCAAATGGATGAAAGGCTTCGGAAGAAAGATGCTTATCTTCATAATTGAGAGAGGAACTGCAGATAATCCGAACAACCTAAATATTGACGGGAAATGGTACCAACCAAACAACATATTATTAAAAATATCAATATATCAATACCAATCATTAAATGTTAAGTTAACAAAATTCGAGTTACTACACCCACTAATTGTAATGGGCAACGCCTGACTGTTTTCTATTTATTACACCAATTCACCACTCTTTGTCGTGTACTTTTAGATTACCGAAAGTGCCTCCCTCGACCAAGGCAAGCCTCTGGATAAATATGTGAAATAATATCGAAAATTAACTTTATACATGGAGTATACAAGCAAAGAGCATTGCTACCGACATTGCCTAATAAGATGGGTGTAGAAGCTTTTTGCTGAATTTATATATTCTAAGCAATTGAAAAGCTAAAGTCCTGTTTACACGAGACCAGGTCCAAACGGGTTCTGATCCAGTTGCAACCGACCCGCATTTTATTTTTACGACAAATAGTTCGGCTACATTTATTATTCCCAAGAAATCTAATTAAACGTAAAAACACCGTAAACATGTGGAGAGAATCGACTTATGACCCGAAGGTTACTATGGCAGAGCAGGTTGCTTCATTTTTAATGTCATTAAACTACTTTTGAATCTAGTACTTCTCATAAATACACAATCAGCTTCCAACCTTATTCTAAGCTTTTGAATACTATGAAATGAAATATGCTCAAAAACATCCTGCTTCTAGTGCTTTTTCAAGGTTTCAGGAAAGCACAGTATTGGAAATTAAATGTCCTAGATTGGCAAACTGACACTTTTATATATACAGGGATTCACTGAGCTTGTTGTCTATAGTATCATGACAACGAAGGCAACTTGTCTGTGCAAAAACATTATCAGGCCTGAACAAAGATTTTCGTTCTAGAGTGCATTTAATGCCTATTTCCGTTCTGCATATAGAAAAGGAAAACTACACAATTTAGTGGATCTAAAACCACTTTCATACAGGAATCTTTGAATATTCATTAGGTTGCCAGGTGCAATAAAGATATTGCACAAAAGAAGCGTGGCTGCTATACTAGTACCAATGCATTGAGCTAACAGAAAACCATTCCACTATTGATTACGAGATTTCCTGCAGCGAAGCAAAAGCTAGATGCTTAAATGATTAGTTAGCCACCATTCAAATAATAGAATTAAGAATAACATTGAAAATTGCAAAAATAAATTATTTTGCTTCTCATAGAAACGCTATAAAATGTTATCAATAAAGGTAAATTAATTTTAAGGAAAAAAAGTAACTTCAGATCTCTCTTAGGTTAATCCCAGGCCTCTCTTAGAAATTACAAATAAAAACTGTTCCATTACCTTGTCGTCCCATGATTCGTGACTGCCACTTCTGGTAAAGCACAGACTTCAGACACTCTGAAATATGAAAAACATGATGCATCATCTTTTGTTGCCAGGGCGGCTTTTCGCAGTTAGTTACAGCATACAGTTATAGCCAGCAAATAATTTTATACGAGCATCAAAATATAATCTTTATTCAAATATGCATACCTCTGATATTAGACTATAGTGCATTATAAAGCCTTCCACGACGTATTAAAAACCTTTTCAGAACTTGACCTTGAATCAAATCTTGAAATTGGCAGTAGGTATAAATGAAGTTAGTAATCCTCAGTTATATTGGATAGTAACTAATATAAGAAAAACAATTTCTGTTGAAAAGACGTCGCATTCTTTGTTCCTGAATATCGTGTCTGATGGAAGCTGACTGAAAAAATTCCAAGAATCACTCCTCCACGTGCATTTTGAAGACATTTGAAAAGGGGTTAAATGCTACGTTCATGGGGTGTCGCTCTTTTCGTTTATTGATTTTCACACAAAGATAAGCTAGTGAATAAAAGTCAAAAAAATGTTTTGTTGCTGAAAGTGATCGATTTGCCTCTATACAACCATCATACATGCTCTGGGTACAAATAGAACAACTCATGTAAGTGCAGCAATTCTCAAAAACGCGACTGTTCACCAAAATGCACCAAAATTTGCAGCTTTTACAACATGTTTTGTTTACATTATACATTATATCTTACGTTACATTTTTACATTATATTATATTTGTAATAGTGATTACGCTTACTTAGAATATAAAATAAATTTTACCATAACTCTGCTTTTTAAAATATTGCAAAATAATAACACCTTTACTGATTAATCTCATATACTAGCATCATCTTTCAATTACTTTCTATATTCAATCCAGAATCCGGAAGTATAATTGACAATAAAAGAAGCGTAGTGTAGAGATTCTGAAAACAATTACAGAAAAGGGGCCTGAATAGAATGGACATGGTAGGAAAGCGAGTTTGTCCTGCCTATAGAACAAGAAAAAGCATGATTTGCCGACAAGAGCACACCAGGCCACGCTTTAATGGGCAATTACATCTTCCGCACAGTAGCAAGTGTATCATTTCCGCAAACACACACTGGGTAAGCGTAAAAGCGGTCTGCAAGCACGAGACTCATTCCGCCTTGTCAAGGCGGCAGAACAGTGCTCAAGTGAACAAGTGCATAACTGAAAGAGGTAGCTAAGACCATTTCTAAACAGGCACTGGCTCAATATGGAGCACAAGAAAATTAATTCAATCTTAATCATTCGACATGTGTTTGGTGATCACTGTTACTCCCTTCTTAATGGCTTGATTAATTGAAATTTTATCACACGTTTAATATGTGACAGGGTATGCTTTTTCGGTGCCCCTTGGGCTTTTGCTTTTGGCACAAATTGCACGATTGTGGGGTTGTGTTCATTGTAGCGGTGCTCTAGTAAGCATTGCAGTCTTTTATATGCTATTTCACATTGAAATAAAGATTTTTTCTTAGAATGCTTTTTCCAAATAATTGAAAAAATACTCGAATGTTACTTTTTATTGCTGTAGTACTATAAACCCTTCCTGACACTGCTCTAAAGCCTGCTTGACAAACAGCACGTGCCAAATTATATCGTGTAAAGTAAAGCGATGCAAAGCAATATGTCACAACTGAATGAAGAAACTGTGTTTGCAATGACTCAACTCTAGGAAACTGAAATTCAATGCTACTTCTTTAGTTCAAAACGATCGATATACATAACGAGATAGTCAGGGACGCACTGTTTTCAACGGAAAAAAGCAGTTTATAGGATGACTCGTGACACTAGTGAACTATGATCTAATACTCATGGAAAGACAACCATTGCGTTCAGTAAAGATGTTTAAACAGAAGCCAATGAAGCTGCAAAACTGCGACAAGATTACTGGGTCGACTGCGTCCATCATTTTTGGAAGCATAAAGGAGACGAAAGAAGAGTGCAGAATAATCATTTCCCATACAGTCCCTATGATAAAAACAGGTCGAGGGTATATTTAAAATCAATGATCAATATCTAAATTTTATTATTTTTGTAAACATTCAAGATCAACTTTCAAGATCAACTCGGCAAGATCAATTTTCTACTTCTCGAATGCACAAAAGCTGCAGGAGCAGAAATTGGCACAAGTGAACTGAAAAAGTATGCAATCGGGTGTATGCAGTCCAACGATATCATAGGACGTTATAAAAAATCTTGCAAATTAATATATGCAAGAATACAAGACAAGAAAGGAAAGTATGAACTTACGGATCTGCTGACGTTAATTCCTTCAGGAGCAAAAGCGACCTGCTTTGTAGACGTTAGAAATGAAAGAGAATTGGACGGCACATAATTGCTATTATTAACTGCAAAGTGATTACCAACAAAAAAATCGCCTATCCAGAGTACCGAAAACGCAGCTGTTTCTGTCAAGGTAGGAACCAGAAACAGCGATCTGCTTTAATTTCTTAAAAGTAACAGGGCAGCCCCGTCGTAAGAGGGCATAATGAAGAAAAGCGCTACGTCAACAATTAGTTCAAAGCACTCATTAGAAAGAAATGGTAGGGGAACAGCTGAGCCATACACGTGTTAATTGCCCTGATTAATAATTAAGAAGCAGATTAACACCAGAAGAAGCACCACCGTAAAAACGCAAACTGCTTTTCTTAACTCTTTTCTTCATATTCGCCAGTAGGTCATCGTCTTGCACCTGTCAGAAGGCCTCTACAACTGGGCTTTAACTCGAGCAGAGCAAGGTCAACAGTGCTCGTTTATTCCATTTTCAGTTACAACTACTAATTATTAACCTCGCAAACACTCATTTTCTATGCTAACATCAAAAGCACTAAAGATCGTCGAGTATAGCATTTGAAAAGCGCATTTAGGTAACCTTACGGTTTTTAAACTTGAGAGCTTCCTAAAGATTGTAAACTTTAGAGACTGACAGAAAGTAAAACAGCTCAGCAGTGACATTACTTTTTTACTTGAACTCTCTCGAAATCCAACAGAGCTGGCTGTTTCAAAGATGCACAAACTAAATAATCTTCAATTTACTTTGTAATACTAATGCCTGTTTTTTCGAAACGTGCTTGCTACCAATCTATTTGTGAATCTTACGCTGCAGAGAATGCTTGGATGATCGAGAATTCCTTCCTTCTCTAGTGAATCGAAAAGTATAGAAAATAAGTCCGTTATCAGAGGCAAAGCAGGTATCAAAGAGTAAGAATGTCGTGCTGCATATCCATGGCGATTTTTGGAGGATCAGGAGCATTCGATACTTCGATGTTAATTTGATGTAAAACTGCAAATTTCACACGAAAAAGAGTTAATCATTTTGACAAATACTGAATGCTCCTCTCAGAAAAGTCATCAGCCTACACGGATTAGAATGACAGATAATGGACACTTTATGCGTAATAGGGTATAAAGTTTGATTGAGGAAAAAGAATGCATCTGATCGTTAAGTGGGGCAGGTGAAAATCACCAACGAAGTATTTGCACGGACCACAAAACAGGGCTGTAACAAAGCAGCGGACGGCTCCTATTGCACATCTCATTGTCGACATATCAAGAGGGGCGCCTATTTATCGTCGAACTTTGCAGCAAAGAAGCATTCTTCTGATTCTGGCCGAATACATTGGCCAGAGAAAAGGGCTTTGGGATCAATATCTAATTAGCTAGCTAGAAAGAGATTAGAGAAGAACTGAAGACGTACCTCTAGGTGGCATATTGTAAGTCTTGTATCTTGACATCATTTCTTGTAAAGGTTCGAGGATAACACAGAGCTACGAAAACAAAATTAAATGGTTTCAAGACAGTTCGTCTGGTTTAGATAGTCCAGAACTGATAAAAGCTATGCATCTATGCACATATGTTAAATCCCTTTCTTCTAGTTCCTAGAGATCAGGGAAAAGATATCATTATCTCTCTACACAGGTAAAACTGAATATGAAAAAACGACTATTGGTGCAAGCCGCTCAAGAATTAATTGCTGATTATCGCTTGCAGTTCATTTTTCCTTACTATCCAGACATTCTGCATATCAGTCATTACATTCGAATAACAACTGGATGTGAGATCTTATCTTAATGCCAATAACATAACACAAGTATATGCATTTGCTCAAAAGAAAAAATGCAGTTCCGGAAGCTCAGTTCTACATTCAGCTATTTGACCGATTGTAAACACTGTTTGCCTTGATTAATTACTGACTTTCGGAAAAGTTGTTATATTTCAAAACAATTGTTTTAATCATAAAAATACTTTTTCCAGAAGAATATCTCTCCAATAGCAACGGTATTAAATCAAGGGGAACTGCTTTCTCAGTAGCAAGAATGTTTTTGCCTTTTAATTTTTGATTTTCAGTTTCCATCAATGGTAACATGCTACCATTAATAATGTACACTCCAAGAATGAAAAAATGGAAAGAAGTATGGAGGATTGAGAAGAATTGTCTCTATATGTCTATCTCTGACATACTTTTCTGCCTCCATTTAATATTAAGAATCAGTGACAGATGGATTAGTTTTTTAAATGAGGACGGTGATAACGCCACAAGCAATTTGAGTTCCAAGGTAGAATGGTGCAATATCAAGTAGCAGAAGTTCAGAGACCTGTTCATTCTTCTCTGCAATGAGATCGGCAACTTGCATGCGACACCTTTTGCTACAGTTGGATCAGGGTTGATTTACTTATTCAGCTTTCTGTTAGTAAATGCCTTGCTCAACAGTCTTTTCAAGAACTTTGTATGCCATCTCTTTTGCCTGTTTATTTATAATTACAAAACTCCAATTAACATGAGTTTCGGTTTGCAGCTGTTTGTCCATTGATGATAATCAGATGAAAAAATGAAGGGAAAAAACCCACAGGAAAGGCTAACGAACTTCCTGGCTAGAAAGGCAAGGCAGTTTTGGGTGTGTCATTGTCTGTCTGTCTCTTACCATGCTAACCGAACTCTAGCCTTAACTTGTGTCTCAGCAGTATAAGGGGAAATTCAATGGGTCTCCAATTTCTAAACATGCCACAAGAAACCAAAGTGCTATTTATATTGGTAAAATAGTTCTTTCTGTTGATAATTTTCTGACAATATCTGTCTCTACTGATACAAAATTTAAGAATTCAACTATATGCTACACTAACATTCACACTGAAGCTCGATCTCCAGGAGAAGTGGCATTTCTTATATCATTTGATTATCAGAATTTGGTAGACTTTTTGGTAGCATTTTAACAAAGTACTTTGTAAAATGGTGGATTCTTGGATCAATATTATGAAATGACATGTCCGTATTTCTTAACTTAGCTGGGCCTCTTTATGAAACTGAGACAACACCTACCCGTAAGTAGTTCATCGTGAAATTCGTAAGGCCTTGTCGCGTTATATTTTTCGTTATCTTCTCAAGGGCATCATCATCCGAGTTCAGGACACTGCGCGGCACCATTTCTTGGTGTTGCTTGATATCAAAGATCCAATGCCGAATTCTTAGAAGATTGTCAAAGTTGAACTCTACTGCAAAGTGACCTTCTGTGAAGACCTGAAAAGAATTAAAACATACAATTAGCGCAAAAAGTAAAAAAAGTACTAATCTGCCATCAGTTTTTTTAGATAAAAGTAAGATGTAGCTCTCCATGCAACTCTCACTCTTTAAGCTATATTTACATAGGTTTGAATAGTTTACTACCACTTTAGAGCTACTTTTTCTGTTTTGGTGACTGAAACCTGTTCTAATACGTACAAATACATGAATTGATCTGAAAGAGGAGTTGAGATACATTACTAGCCTTCAAACAGGTGACAATATTTACAATGGGAAAATTAACGTTAACCAAATGCATGTGGATAAGTAGGAATGCTGGGTAGCTGTTGTCTTTGGGTGATTGGTGCAGGCATAAATTGCAGTGTCAGAGTTTCTAGCGTCTCCCGTTTGACCACCCAAGCTCGTAACACCCATTCTAGTGATGCCACGCAAAAATTGGAAATTTAGTAAATATAGTAATAAGACACATCAATCGGAAGCCTTTCCTTTGGGTTTTAAACCATTTAACAACTATTCGCAGAAAATGACCAATTTAATTAAAAATTGCTGCTTTTTTCGTCAAAGGTCAAGTCTGGAAATGTGAATATCCATTTTTCATTGAACAAGATGCACTATGTCGTCCTGGTTCTGTAGGAAATCACATGTTTGTAGCTATTACCCAGTCTAATGGGGCCAGTCCAGTCAGTAAATAAACGATATTGCCTTCTATTTCCAAAATGAACTGGCCCTGCCCTACTTGATTACAGGATCGGTCAAATCGAAATTATGAAATTCAAGCGAAGATTCAAGCACCCGTTTCTACTGATGATTAGCATCTCTCGAAGGGGGTGAAATTTGGATAAACTTCAATCAGCTTTTATCTGCTTTGCAATACGGGCACGTTTAAATGTCTTACCGTCGCTTCAAGTTAGTGGCTGAGCTGCCTTTTAAGTCTTTGCTGCCGGGATTTTCATCATACTACACGATCGTTATAGAGTTCTCAAGTGTGACGTCACAAAATACTATTTTTAGAACTTTTGAATTTTGACCACATAACATGAAAGAACGCCACAGAATAGTGCAATGTATGCAAAATCAGTTAAATGTGTCAAAAATCGGGTGAGCTATGGCCAATAGAAGATTTGAAGTTTTGAAAACTGTTACTGTTATTTCGGCTCAGTTCATAAAGGTATGAACTGGGACCAAATTACAGGCAGAGCCTGTGCTCGTCTGGTCATATCTCAGTCAATTCGTGATACCTTTAACTGATTTTGCAGATTTAGAGGTAATTCATGATGCTCTTTCAGGTTATGGGAAAAATTTCAAATTTTAAAAATAGATTTTTGTGACGTCATCACTGGACAACTCTATTGAACTCGCGAGCTTAGAAGAAGGCAGCAACTCTGTTCAGCAAGTGCGAGACTAAATTTGAAGAGACCGAATGAACAAAACACATTATTGAGCAGAGCTTTCAAATCATATTCATTCCTCGAGGTTGACTATTTGTACACGGCTTCTATTGTTGAGATAACTAAAACAATTTTAATCACATTTGCTGTGAAGATTAAGTAGCCTCCGTTCCCGCAAACGAAAATCAATTACAAGAACAGTTATACTCCACATGTACAAAATTAAAAATTTTCTATTTGCATTTACACGTGGCTGGCATGTTTACTGCAGAATAAGATCGCAGATTTCCTTGTCTCGTCAAGATTAAAGTTAAATTTAGAGCGGCGAATGTCTTCTCCAAAGGATCACCTGACTTGTGATCGTATTCCTATCAAGCAGTATACTGTTTGAATTCAATACGGATCCTTCAAATGCATTTAGAATATTTGCTGTAAATGAAATCAAGCAGTATGACAATCACATTCAAAATTAAAAAATATAAAACTAAAAATTATTTAATTTAACCTTAATCTACGTATAATCTATCAACTTTTTAAAAAAGTGAATGCTATGTTGCTGCACGGACCCTGCAAAATTTTGCAACGGTTTTTTATCCATAACCTCTGTAAATTTTACGGTTGCCGAGCTCATTGACTAATAAGAAAAATGGTGAACACAACGTTTCCTTTTGCCTAAATTTTTGCTTCTAAAAATTTACAAATGGACAACAATATACAAAGATGAAACTGTCTTTCATTGTGTACTGAGATAAGAAACACAACAGCGTTTTTCATTAGATTTGGGCCTCTGCACTGCCGAACAAACAGAGAGTCAAGTTCAATTTCGATTTGGCCTATAACCCAAGCTACAAAAACCTAGCAATTTGTCATCAATTACTTCTTAAATAAAAGCTTCTTAGCAGCTCAGTTAAAGTAAGAAAAGGATGATACGTGAGAAGACAAATTTGACGAGAAGCTTTGAAAACGAAATACTTCTCTTCTCTGCAAAATATAACTTCCGTCGAGGGCTAAATTTCATGATTTCATAGGGCTAGCAATTCTTAAGAACGATTGCTTTATCACTTCTTTTTCAAATGGTGCAGATCATACATAGGTAAAATCGAATTTTTTTTCAATAATTCATTAGTTTTAATAATTTAAATTCATTGCGGAAATTATTATTTTTACACACAGTGCAATCTTACGTAATCATTAAGAAGGAGAGGACTCAGAGGAGCTGACAGCATATTCTTTGCTGGGCTTACTTGTGCAAATTCTTTGTCAAAGTGAGGTGGTACATTGAAAAATCTCGTGTTTTCACATTCTAAGTGCTAGAGTAACGATCTCTTGATCTCCGGAACCTCCGCCAATAACGTACAGAACACAAGTTCTACATTACAAAACTAGAAGAGGTCCTAAAGTTAAAGAAGATACCTAATTTGAAATCATAAGTATCAAGCCTAGGAGCGGCAGAAAACTAAAGAATTATACTTCTTTAACGATTAGAAATGTTTGAAATGACGATGTCGATGACGAAACAGACCTGTAAGAAGCCTTTGGAAGATATTTCTTAACTTTTTGACAATCAAAAATGCAGCATTGTAATATATTGGTAACATAATCAATTGATTTGATATATCATAGAAGTATACAAAGCCGTCGTAATTCTTTCACGGAAGTTGAAGCTCGAATTCCGAACGGCGATAATTACAGCCCTGTGCTGGCGTTTAAACAAAAGAATTCACGAGAAGCTCTGGAAAATCCCAAGTGGCTTTTCAGTTTTAGCTATCATAATAAGCAGACATATGTCCAAAGGTCTCTTCAAGTTAACCATGGCTCAAATTTTCGATGCCACCTGGCACAAGAGAATGATAGATAGCAATAAGACAATTGCCTTACTTTCGTCATAACGGGACTTGAAAAATGCGTCACTGTCGTCATCTTTTCGCATTCCAAATTAACCGCTGACTCAGAAAATGACTCCTTGCATTGATCCAGTAGGTAATACACGCTTGAAACACCTCCTTCAAAGAGGCTTCTGAAGTACCTTGGTATCAATATGCGACCAATTGCTAAATAGAGCAAAATAGAAAATTACAAGGAAAATGTGGAGGTTATAGAAGAGAAAAGTTACTTTTATAAGCTGAAATGCATTCTTGGGGATCAAAAAGGTACTTTAAACTGGTTGAAAAAGTTTTGAAAATGTTTTCATGCACTACTTCTAGAAACCTTGGTAAAGGTTTCCTTGAGAATTGATTGGTACTTTCTAGCGACAGTTGATCTATTTCAACCCAAAGAGACAGGGAATAGTAGTGGGATTCTACTTTTCTCAAGTGTTCAACGAAAGGGCCACCTTTTCACATGACCATGATCACTTGCTAGGCTTACCTGCTTTGACCACACTCCAGAAAAATGAGCAGGTCACCTGAATATGTATACATATTGTGAAAGCACAAAATCAAAACACTACACGAGCAAGATGACAGCTGAAGGCTTTCCTATCATATTCCAGAAATATTAACCAATAAAAGAAATATTAAGTAAAATGAGACACTCACAATACTTTTTTGGTACATCATCCAGCGAAAATTGAATTGTTAAAACGGCATTATCTTCAAAAAACTCGCTGATCAGATTGTCCCACCAAATGTTGTCACATTCCTATTCATAACAAAAGAATACATAATTAAAAAACCGAAGGATTAACATGATAATTTTTGAGCAAATAAAATAATGATATCCATGCTTGCTTGGATTGGAACTTCCAATAATGGATTTGTAATTTACTTTTGTTGCTTCTATATAACATTTGAAAGAAGCTGACTGTATTAATAATGATTGGCATCAACTAACCAACAAATGCTGTATGATGAAAAAACCTCAAGTAGAGAAATTATTATTATCATTTTTACTTTTATAAGGTTGAATCATGAATGAATATCACTAGGAGACAAGAGACTCTCATTCTTTTTGACTTTATGTTCTGATGTCCAGGGGATTCAGTGATGATGTCCACAGACTTGAGTTTTCTAAGGGACTTGTGATAAATGGGTATACAATAGCAGGAGTGCATGGTATTCAGGAATAGAACTAAGGGTTTCCAAAATCCTAATCTGAGGCCTTTTTGAGCTCCATTTGACTCGTGCAGAAAAATTAGTCTACAGAATTACCAGGACGTAAGTATTTCAAAACCCAATTCAATATGGCATCAACAAAACTGGTAGCTTTGCAAACTTATAACTTTACGAAGCATTCCCTTCATGTGAGAACATAACCATATTAAACCAGGAGACAAATTCTTTAAAATTCAATAAGGATTTCAAAATTGTTAAATTATAATATTAATGTAAAAAAGTTTGCAGTTTTAACAGGATGAGGAGCGAGTAGTTGTGATAAGACTTGCAAAAGTCCTCTTTCAAGTCAAACGATTTCAAAATTTTATAGATAGTGATGGACAATAGTGACAGCTTAGGAAACAACAAAAATGTAGTCCTTAGTCCCAAAATTTTTAGCCATGATATCCTCCAACTTAACTTGGGTGATTTTTGGGTACAGTTAAGCCCAGATGACTTGGTAAGTGGCAACTAGCAATGTGCGAGTTAATGCAGTTAGGTATGTCAAAATAATGCAAAAAGATATTTTTAGTGAAATCAAATCAATGCTAGGGAAATGTGGATGGCATCTTTTTTCATCTAAAGTGATACAATCTCCTTACAAGACCACTTTTACTCATAAGTTACCTGAAGATTCCCACAAAATGTTTGATTAATTAAAAGTTATTTCGATTGTTGATTCAAAATTTTGAAAATGGAAGTGGAATATCCAAATTCACTGTCTTCAATAAAGTTGCTGTCTTACTTGTATGCTATTATACAATAGCTTAATCAAACAGCAACAACTGTTTTTGTATGATCCGCCATTAATCCTTTGCAAGTGTTGCAATACTTTTGTTTTTATAGTGTACCCAGAGGAAGCTTCCACCTATACTCAATATACTCCAATGATTGAGCAAGTAATGCATTTAAATCTCAGGCCAGGTACCCTAGCTCTGAAATTTTGTATGTTCAGGCATCGCTTTAAAACTTAGAGAATCCTTGCTTGTGAAATAAATAATCAAACAACACGAAATGATGTTCAATAAACTAACCTCTGTCCTTTGTAGAAGTTTCTTATTAAACTCATAAATTTTATAATCTGGATGTGTATAATAGGGCATCTGTCTCCTATGAAGGCAAAATAAAGGCATCACACCAGTTAAAAAAATACAGCTAGCTTAGTATAAACAAATGATTGAAAAACCAAGAAATTAAAAACATGGACTACTGGCACTTATTAATCTTTTGATATTTTGATAATTTGATTGATGATCAGACATAGCAAGTCATCGTGATCCATGATAATATTCTCCAGTGCATTTCCTGATAACCTGACGTACCAGAATGACCAGGGAACTCCAAAGGGTACATGCCATGATTCATGGTCATGATTGATGGTACTATCGAGTAGGAAAAGCCAATAAGAACTGACAGAAAAAAATTTAGTCTGTTTACTTGACCTGATGCAATTTAACATCATTTGACTCTGATGCAATTTAATTTGAATCAAAATAAGAAGGGGAGAATACATATACTTTTGTTTTTATTATCCTAAACTTGGAAAAAAAAATGAGAGCTTTTCATATCGTCTTCATCTTTCTACAAATGGGGTAAATGCTCTACCAAGAATCAAACATTTAAACACAGGATGCGCCTACAAATAGACTTTAGACATCTATCTGGCCTTAAGATGCTTTGAAAACTGTGAGTCCAAAAGGTCTTCATTTAAATGTCTCAGTCCCACCATCCCTAAACTTTTTGCAAGATTCTGGATTTGAAAAGCGAGTTGTAAAAACCTGACCTAGCTATTCAAAGTACTGTAATAATAAGAAGTAGCTGCTTTCTCTCAACCATTTGCTACAGGTTTCTTCCAAAAGTAGTAGTTGCAAATGAACAGGACATTCCTGAAAGATACCTGCTTGTCTCCACTTTTTTACTTGTTGGTGGATATTTAAGTTTTTTGTACCAAAATAAGGTCAATTCAGGTCTTGAATCAGATAACAACTGTACCATTCTTCCAATGTGAACTAGAATGGTTAAAATTTGTGCACAAAAGGAAGTAGGGAATGGACTTAAATGAGCTTACAAGGAATTGAATGACAACAAAAAGGTGAGAAAATCTGTATTGAGAAAAATGTGGTAAAAAAATGGGATGAAGATAAACCAGAAAATTTAATAACCAAAACTCTGATACTACAAATGCAATTGCATAGCATACCAAAAAGTACTTCTCTTTGGCATTCAACAGAGTAGAAAACATCAGATGATGAAAAATAGTATGTATACAAAAACCAATATTTATTTTTATCTCGATAGGGTGTGAGAGGAAGAATGGCATGCCAAAATTGATGAAAATTTTTCTTTCTGAAATATAGGAAGGTCTAAATCCAGACTGAAATATACGTGGAATACCAAATTCCATTATATTAATAAATGGCATTGCTAGCTAACAGGGAGCGACATGGGTTAGCAAGGTAGCAAAGAAAAAAAAACTCTCATACCCCTGAGTAGACACAGCAGTTGGCATTGCTCCACCTTGCATACTACAAATTTCAAGCCCTTTAGTATCACTTTTTAACAGGATCCCATTCCCTAGAAGAAAGACAAATGGGGATTGAAGAAAAATTTCGATTACATAGCCAAAATTTTGTCAAAAAAGTTATTCTAAACACAGCTAAATTCACACTTTATGGTTGTGTTGACTTAATAATATTGAGAATGAGTATAAAATCTAAAAATCAAATACTTTGGAAACCTTAACTGTAGCAAATGTTGAATTTTTTCCTTGTTAGATTTCATACAGCAAATGAAAAAAGGATCCAAATTCATCATAGGATTTAGTGCTAAAACTGAGCTACATGTTACATACCCAAGGAACTACAATTTCAAAAAAATGATTTGAGAAAATTACAGAGCTAAATACAGTTCATTCCTGATTACCAAAACAGCTGCTAACAGGGACCACAATAAACCAAATGTTTGGTAATATGAATTTCAGGAAAATTTTTCTTATCAAAAAACTTTTGAGTAACCTTGATATTTTGCACCTTAATTCAGCTACTCTTTTTCCAATGCCACGAGTTAAACCATTCAAAATGAAATTTAAAGCAATCTGGTCTTTGTTTAAATTAATTGAGGGTTCACTATAGTACCTTTACAAGATTCTGTCTAGATCAAAATACATGTTTTGCTTTAATGCTGACCTCTGTATCATTGAATAGTACATAGTTATTTAGAATAGTACATAGAAATAATTTCTTGTGGCAAAAATTTAAAAAATATTTTTGATATTTTGGCAAAAATGTACATGGGAACTTTCATAATTTTAGTAGAAAGAAATAACACTTAAAAATTGTATTGAACATGGTCGTAAATCTAAATGAAATGAATATCAACAATATCATTTCATTGAATTGAACAGAATGGTGTAACAACAAATGTTAAGAGTCCCAATACTCAAAAGTTATGATGCAACTGTCCTAAAATAATTTCATTATCTATAACCCATGAAGTGCAACTAACTCAAAATTGTCTTCAACTTCAAATGTTTCCATTGATTGTGAGTCAAAAAACTGAGTCCTCCAACTTAAGTAACATTTGAAAAAATAGATAAAAAAATTATGAAAAGCCAATATATGGATCAGTATAGCCCACAGAGAACTTCAATTACTTTGGTATAGAAAGTAATTGAGACGAGCTGGGGGTTTTATTTTTTTATAGTGAAAGAGAGCCAGAAATAAAAACAAATATTGGTTTATAAAAAAACAATGTTCATATTAAAAGTACATTTAGGAAAAACCTCTTGATACACTTCAGTCTCTTGTTTTTTAAGATCTGAGGTTTGGAGTGAAATCCCTCTTTTAAGAAGGAAATTTTTTATCATTTTCAAAGCATTTAGACAACCTAGCAATTTTCTATTATGTTTGAAAAGTTTATTGATAAAAATCTTTAATTTTAAAATTTTTTCGGCAGGATAAATGTCTTCTTGCTCTATTTCATCAATATTTTGTTCTCATCAGAAATTTTGGCAACTAATCTAAACAAAAAACACAACTGATAGGCCACAGGTTCCTTGCAGCTTTAAAGAAAAATAAAGTATCATACTTCTTTCTAAGTAATGAAAAAAAGGAAAATGGCAAAAATTACTGGAACCCACAAAATTTGTCTTGAAAACAAAGTTGATCAACTTAGCTACAAAGGTAGTGGTATGCAAACAAATTAAAAAGCAGGTAATGCTTGATGATACCACATAAGAAAAAGACTAGATTGCTATTAAGGAAAATTATGAATCTTTCTTACAGGTGTTGATGACAAATTTCTTCTCACTAAAGGAATAAGTGATGGCTTAGCTCTACGGAGACCAGTTGCTTGTCAAACAATTTTCTAATCAAATTTTTGCTATTTCTAATGTTTACAATACAAAACTAATTTCTAGCTCATATTTACTGGGTATATTTACACATCCAGTTAACTTAGAATCCGCCTAGACAAAACATTTGAAAATCAGGCTCTCAACTTAATTCAAATGGCTGGTAAGATATTCCTTCCTCCTCTCCAATTTTAGTTCATTGGGACAATTTTAACAAACCTTAATTCCGTAAGACAAAATGGAAATAAAGTAGGTAAAAGGATTTCTGGGCAAGGGTTACTAAGTGGAGAGATCGACTGGAAACATTTCGCAAAAATGTGGTATAAACTATTAGCGTACTTTTGAAAAATCGATCGATTCCAAAGCTTGAAATACATAGATACAGATTGTGAAATAAAGCCTGATTTTGGAAGCTTGGCTTGAAAAAAAAACATAAATATATGAGAACTGTTTGCTATACTTTTCCTTTACAGCACACATGCTGTTGAAATTCTGAATATTAATCGCTAAAGTTATGTTTAGCCTTTCATCGTTACCTGTTGGAACATATCTATAAAGGGGCATCAACCAGGCTGACATTAAAAAACCATCTCTGCTGTTAAGTGACAGAAGCACGATAGCAAACAAACCACAGAGACACCACAACATGAAGTGGTTACAACTATACTGGGACCGGTGTACTCGAAGGAAGTTGGAAAACCAAACTTGCAGTTTGATAATTAAAGTGAGTACGAAAAACTTTCCTTACCTTTTTTCTGGTAATGACTTTGAAAATTGACAGTCCGCCTCTAAAAAGTCGTCTTTTCAGTGTTATCAGAAGGTGAAAAGCAGATAAACAAAGGGTTGGAATGGAATCAATTAGTCCTCGATTTCATGTCGCCTCCTTTCAAGTTTGTCGAAAGACGTTTTCTTCTTCTCGTCTCGCGAACGACTTCGACAAAACAACTTTGAAAAAGAGTAAAATTGGGTGACCACTGATTTTCTTGTACAGGCTTCTTTGCTAAATGAAAAGTTAGCATATTTTTCTACTTACACCAAGATTTTTCTGAAGGCATGAAAGGAAATCAGTGAACTTTCGTCGACTCGGTGAACCTAGACTTCAAATTTTGGGAGGGGGGCTATATGTATCTCCTTTTATCAACAATTTTCTATGCGGTTTCAAGTCTTTTATGAATGAAAGCGGTTACATTACACAGGGACAAGGGGTGCCGTCCTAAAAAGTTAGAAAGGGGGCTGTGTTGTAGGCAAATTCAAGCGACCACGCCCATGACAACACCGTTAAAGACTTTCCGTTGGGTATAGAAATCATTCAGTGTGCAGTGGGTCATGGCACCACCAAGCAATTTATGGTATGTGTTATGGAAACGGTTTGAAGGGCAAATGACTTAAAAACAATAATCAAGAGTTTTGGATTCACTAAAATTTATTCAGCATTATAGAAGGTATTTACAGATAATACTTAGATTGAATCTGGGTGGCTAAGAATCAATTTTAGTGAGGTGGAATGACCCACCATGGTTAGGTCCGATGCGAAAGAAAATTTTTGAAATCATACCTTCCAGAAAGGTTAAAAGAACATCTTCCAGACCAAGTTTAAGAAAATACTATATCGTTCTGGATATTTGACGTTTGTCAGAAGAACAGAGTTTATTGTTTCTTGGGAGAAATTGGGGAGGGGAAGAGTACATAACTCTTAAACTCTAGTGACAGACGTTGGGGGAAAGAAAGAAAGGGTGACTTTGCTCAGAGTGGACATTTTTTCGCAATGTTTACAACAGACAATCGCCATACTGACGATTTTCACTTTTTCAAAATGAATGTTTTCTTTCGAGAGCAAGCGATTTTTTCCTGAAACCATATCGGATTCGAAAAGATAAGGATATATCTAAGAACTTTTCGGGCTCAAAAGGAACACTTTTAAAAAAATCGAGGCTAGGCAAAATTCATAGCATTCTTACAATAGAGAGTGTAGTCATTGCCTCTTTCTATAAAATTACTTCTTTATCGACGTACTACTTTCACGCAAATTAATTTTATTCCTTGCCCTCTTTGTCTTTTGGCTTTGTTGCTAGCTACAGTTGAAAGCAAAAAATCAGAATTTCTTTTTTTTATGTCTTTGCTATTTTCATGTCTATATGTGCATTCAAAATAAAGGAGCTATTATTGAGATCTTGATACTGCAATTCGACTATTAAAGGGCCAGAAACTAGGGTCTTTTACGGCCCTTCTATGAAGTGTCATTTTATTGAAGAAACATGAACGAAAAATGTAGAAATTGGAAGCAAATTGCTTAAAGCTACTTATTGGTGAAAAAATTATAACTGAGATAGTTATTTTAGCAGTGCACTTTAATCAGTGGCGTCACCAAAGGGGGTGCAAAGAGGGTGTGGTACCCCCCAATAATTTGTCCGTCGGCATATAAAGGATTTTTGCCGGGCAAAAGAAGCTATTCTTGTAGGCACCCTGGAACCTTTTTACAACAATTGTAAGGTATTAACTTTTCTGTAGTAGCTGAACTTCTAAAATAAGACGGTTCAATTAGAATTTTCTGAAAACAGGCTGTTCAGCCAATAATGACAATATATAATAATAATATAAACATGGTCAACTTACTTAAAGTTGGGGCTACAGTACATAGCTATTTACAGTGAAATTAGCAAATCCAATCCAACTGTTAAAACTACTACATCAAATAAATGCATACAAGATTGAATACATAAAATTTTAAGAACAGAGTAAACTTTAAAAGCAGAATGAAAAGCGCGGTACTATAAAAATCTGAGCTATTCAAAACGATGGTTTTACAAAAATCTAAGTTGTGGTACGAGCGTCCTACATATTTTGCATATGCAGTCGGTGTCATTCCAGCTTTCAATTTCTTTCTTAAAATCAATGATAGGTTGAGCATTCCTTATGTGCTGAGGTAAAAAGAGCCAAAGACGCTGCCCTATAAATTTGATAGTTTCGGATCCGTAAATGGTTGCTCTTACCCTTGGTAACAAAATTTCATAATTTTCCTCGAATTATAACCAACATGACGCTGGCAGAAAATCTCCCTCATGAAAGGAGTGTTGATATTTTCCTTGGTTTTAAACATTTCAATTATTAGATTTTGCAGCTGCTTTACACGAATATTTACGGCGTCATCTTTTTCTAGTAGAGTGTTGAAGCTAGAATAATAGTCCTTGTATGCAATTCTCAGGGCTATTTTGTGTATTCTATGAATCTTACTATTCAAGTGCCTACTGTGGAACAGCCAGACCAATGGATAGTATTGAAAATGGTTTATTAGATTTTTAGTTGATTAGAGTTTATGTATCCAGATATGCGAGCGAGGGTTGAGAGTCTTTTGTCTATCACAACACCTAGTAGCTTTTCCTCTTCCGAATTTCCCATGATGGAATCTCCTACATTAACTGTGACCTGCTGATTAGAACTTCTGCCAAGAATGAATAAACGATATTTGTTTGTATTCAACCTCACGAAGTTATCATCAGCAAACCATTGGATAATTATACTTGAATCATTCTCTAGCCTCGCAATTACATAATTAAGATTTTTATCGTACAATATGGTTGTATCATCCGCGTAATTGCAAATAAGGAAAGCAGTAAATCATTTATGTAGATCTTAAAGAACAGGGGACAAGTAAATGATCCTTGTGGGAAACCAAGGAACAGTTGTTTGTTAAGTACTGAATGACTTGTTAATCTTAACTCTCTAATGCCTATTTTCCAAGTAGCTGTTAACAAGACACAGTGCTTCATGGCTGAATCCGTAAGCATCTAGTTTTGCTATAAGGAGGTCCTGTTTAATACAATCGAACGCTTTGGATAGGTTCATTAGGATTGCGTCAACATTTTCTCTCTTGCCTAAGCTTGTTTTCTATTTTTTAAGCACTCAAACCAATGCATGTTGCGCATTGTGCCCTCTACGAAAACCACATAAAAGTGACGATAAATAAGGTTCCATATAATCAATAATCTGTCTATCCACCAGTCTCTCAAAAACGTTTGAAACAGTTGGCAATACACTCACCGGTCTGTCATTTTTTTACTGGTTTTTTCCTCTGATTTATGAAGGAAGGTGACATCTGCTAACTTTAATATGTCTGGAAAGATACAATTTTGAACGCAGTTATTGAAAATAAGCTGCATGGATTCGGGGCAAATGTCAGAGATGTTTGTTGTTCAGCACTTTTGCAGGTATATTGCCAAAGGTTGTTGACTTTTTAGGATTAAGTCTCCCAGAGCGCAACTGTTCCCAAGTAACCTCTTGGAATTTAAAGTAATCGTTAATATGAGCAAAACTTCGATTTTTCCTAACGCTTGGGTTTTTTAAATACTCTATTTTAGCCTTTTTCTATAGGCTCTGATACACCTTCTGTATTTACGGTAACCTCCCTGTTCTCTGTAGGACCTAATGAGTCAGTAACCGATACAAAATAATCATTCATGGTTTCTGCAACTTACTTATCAATGGAGATTATCATATTATTATCGATAAGGGTAATTTTTTAATTGGATCGACTTTTATCGTAAAGGACAGATTTTACAGTTTCCCAAAATTTCTTGTTGTCAGTAATATCAGAAGTATTTAAATTTTTATAGAAATTTCTTTTTTCCTTTCTAAATAATTTGACACACAAATTACGCTGTCGACGAAACGCTTCCCAATGTTCAGCAGTAGTTTTATTCTTTTTATCTTTCAATCTAGAACGCACCATAGTAGCTTTACGAAGAACTCGATTCATGAAAGAAGCATTATTGGCCCTGGCGTATTCTTCATCGGTGCATTGTACATGCAAGTACTTTTTGAAAGTAATTTTGAATAGAACTGTAGTCTAAATCAAACGTTTTAATACTATCCAACTCTTCCTTAAGTTATCGTTTGAAAAACTGCTCCGAAAAGTTCTTATAAACTCTATAGTTAATAACAGTGGGTTCAGCTTTTTGGTACGTTGTTTGGTACGTGACTATCGTTTTGTGAAAGTCAGAGAGACCTGTTTCAAAAGTGGTGGTATGTTGGATGCTCCTATATCTGTTGGTTAAGATTATGTCAATACACCGTGGATTGTCAGACTTGAAACAGGTTTGCTCCTCTACCGATCAACTGCTTTGCCAAGATTTTCGTAGAAGTGATCTTGTGATTGGGATGGTGGTCGGCAAACACGGAAAAGAGCCCACTTATTTCTCCTTAAATTAATTTCAAAACAAATGCATTCTATGCCAAATTCAAACTTGAATGATTTTAACTGTTTCATTGTGATGTCACTTTTCACATAGACCAACACGACCAACAGGCCACCACCTTCACCATTTCTATCAAGCCGCAGTGAATCAGCATAGCCATTAACATAGAATTGTCCTTTTGTAGAAAAATCATCAATTTTCATTTCCGCAACCATTAGATTAACAAGATTCCGATCTCTTTTAATGCATTAAAATTCATTTCTAATGAAATTGATATTTAGATATCCGACAGTCATACGGCCTATGATCTTCAAACGCAGACTTAATCAGATAACGCAGTAATAACGCAGCTTTAAACGCAGAGATAATGTATTTTTAAACGCAGACAACGATCCTCCTGCAGAGGTTTCAAGCTCTTGGGGCTAAGGGGGGGGGGGCTGACTCCTCATTGTAAATGCCAACTGCAGCCCCTTTTCACTTCTTACTAATGTTTTTACGCAGTTTATCTAAAAGAGGAGATTGTACCTTAGAGCCAGGGGCGGTGCTAGAAAAATTTCTTAGGGGATGTCAAGTGTTCTGTTGCAGAGCAGGATATTTTTCAAATAAATAAAGTGAAGGCATACTCGGATGTCGAAAACAGAAGGGACCTTCTCCACCGTTTACTAACTATTGAGTTTGTGATTCTTGAACAAATTTCCTACTGCAAGTGTATATAAAAATGTAAAATTCTTCGTTTATTTCGGCGCTCCAACAACAAGCAACTTTGTCGAAATATGGCCAAATTTACCCAAATTGTATTTCATTCGACAATTCAGCAAAAGCTCGGGTAGCTCTCACCCCGATAGTTCCGCCACTGCCTCTCATCTCATTATTTCGCTGTAGACACTCTTTGATATCTGGACATCGCTAGTTTTCTAGGAAGCTGGCCTGCCTTGCCAGAAATTTTGTTCCGTAACGAGCGCTCGTTTCTGACAAAAGTTCAACTAGTCTGTTAAAGAAAGCTTACGTCAGTCAAGGGTTGGTCATTAATGTTGAGTTCCTTTACCGCAGTGTTTGAGCCAGCGTTAGTTGCTTTATGCATTGCCTACTTTTACGATTGGTATCTGAAGATTGCCTCCTTTTATAATTGAAGTCTAAAGATAAAAGACATGCTTTTAGAAGGAAGACTGAATGTTTCGATGTTGATATATCCACAGCTAGGCGTTTGTATTCAGTTGACTTGTAATCATCATTAAGAGTTTTTTTAGCTAACTCTTTTCACAAAAGCTACTGGAACTCTTCTGCATTTCACTACCCTCATCAGTCACTTTCTTCACCCATGCAAACTCACATTCCAATTTATTGTAATATTCTGGGTCTACTGGAAGAATATTTGGCGAATGAAGCTATTAAAGTTAGAATTGAAAACGCTGATAGATTTCAGAAACATAATTCTTGCAAACCGGACAGATTATAAAAACGCAAAGAAGCAAAGTTTATTTATAAATCTACTTCGTAAACTCAAATTGAAAGTATTGGGGAGAAAATTAGTCAGCAGAAGAAATTTGGAAAAAAAGCTGAAATGCCAATGTGATTCAATGAAATGCCAAAACCGGACAGATTATAAAAACTCAAAGAAGCAAAGTTTATTTATAAATCTACTTCGTAAACTCAAATTGAAAGTACTGGGAAAAAAATTAGTCAGCAGAAGAAATTTGGAAAAAAAGCTGAAATGCCAATGTGATTCAATGAAATGCCAAAACCGGACAGATTATAAAAACTCAAAGAAGCAAAGTTTATTTATAAATCTACTTCGTAAACTCAAATTGAAAGTATTGGGAAAAAAATTATTCAGCAGAAGAAATTTGGAAAAAAAGCTGAAATGCCAATGTGATTCAATGAAATGCCAAAACCGGACAAATTATAAAAACTCAAAGAAGCAAAGTTTATTTATAAATCTACTTCGTAAACTCAAATTGAAAGTATTGGGAAAAAAATTAGTCAGCAGAAGAAATTTGGAAAAAAAGCTGAAATGCCAATGTGATTCAATGAAATGCCAAAACCGGACAGATTATAAAAACTCAAAGAAGCAAAGTTTATTTATAAATCTACTTCGTAAACTCAAATTAAAAGTATTGGGGGAAAAATTAGTCAGAAGAAGAAATTTGGAAAAAAAGCTGAAATGCCAATGTGATTCAATGAAATGCCAAAACCGGACAGATTATAAAAACTCAAAGAAGCAAAGTTTATTTATAAATCTACTTCGTAAACTCAAATTAAAAGTATTGGGGGAAAAATTAGTCAGAAGAAGAAATTTGGAAAAAAAGCTGAAATGCCAATGTGATTCAATAGCGGTTCGTGAAATTAAGCATGAGTTGATTTACGTGAATAGCAAGCTAAGAAGTCATTTTGGTGAGTTTTCTGCTCCGGCTTAACAAAAATGTTTAATTATTGTAGCTGATAAAAAGATACACTTGATTCAAAGTAGATGTTTCAATAATCAGCAAAAAATGGGAACTTGTGTTTCACAGAAACATTAAGCAGTGGCAGACTGGCCCACCAGCCCCCAGCATAATCTAGCAAAAAGGGGCCCCTTTTTACCGAAAAGGGGCCCCGTTAAAAAGAAATATAAGACTTGTTTTTTATTTCTGATTACAAATAATTGACAACATGGATTGCATCAAAACTGAGGTTGAATATGGTTACTAATTTAAGGTGTGATTTTGCTACTGATGGTGTGATTCATTCCATTTCAAAACGGAGTTACATATATTTTACATTTTAACATTCCATCATTCCAACATTCCATCATTCCAACATTCCAACATTCCTTTTGCAAGATAGCCAAGTGCATACCTGTTAAGTGCTGCTCTTTTGTTAAATTTTCCGTGATTAACACATAAACTTATTCCTGCGTCTTTCTGATTTTACTACCCACTTTTCATTGAGAAGGTCTTCAGTGCAGTTCTTCACTTCAGAATACAAGGATCTTGGGATGCATTGGTAGCAAAAGGTATTTGATGCGTTTGTAAGCTAGAAGTTATGCAGTGTCACTGTTATGACTACCTGGCTGGATACACTCGTTCCGGTAATCCTGAAAGATCATTTTCGAAATTCGAAGCCTGATCTCCTTGTAGGTAAAGCAGAACACTTTGAAGCAAAAATGGACTGTATTTGGTATTTTCATACAGTAGGAGATTAGTCCCAAAGCATGCCTGTTACGCAAGAGCATTCAAGAAGGGGCAATTTCTCGGTGTATTGACGACCAACCACGAAGAACACTGTTGCAAAATCAGGCTGGCTTCGTGAACTGCCAATCGGCCAGTTTTGTCGACAATAAGTAATCTTGAACGAGGAAGCCAGCAAGAACTCCACAAGCGACATAAGCCACTGACTCAGCAATGGTTCGATGACTGATTACTGCAAAGTAAAAATGAGTGAGCGGTATTAGTAACATAGCTTCTCTTCTAAAAGTCGGGATTAAAAGCAAGCTAATAAAACAATTCTTTCCAAACTACTTTGAGCGAATAAGAAACACAGAAACACTAGCAAGATGGATTCAGTACGAAACCTACAAACAATAACACGAACTTTAGACTGGAATCAACCAGCCAGGGCCTGATTATATAAAGAGTCTTTGACGCTGTTTTTAAGATTACATCAAGTAGTAAGAGATTGAAATATCATCTGATTTTTACAAACTTAATAATGTATTTTTTGCGTAGCATTAGACAAAACGAGTTTTTAACGATGCATTCTCAAGTACGCACTAAATTCAAAACAAGTATATATAGTGCAAGGTTGGCTCAGTGGTTGGGGTCGCTGACTACACATCCAAGGTTCTGTGGTTCGAGTCCCTGGCATGACCAAACTTTTACTCAGAGTTGGGGGAGTCACCAGCTCCCAGGCGTAGAAATCACGAAGTCTGGCCACACTGAGAGGAAGGACCAGGACACTGCTAGATAAGCATAGCTTTTCAGTGTCCTAAAACTACATTCAGAGGCTAGGTAGCAAACAACACAATACACAAATTTTACAAAAATATACTATTACTACGTTAATGCTTAGTGCTTGCTAGGAAAACTGTTTTGGCGATAAGTACATGTGAGACAGTTTTATCAATGAGTAAGACAAATTTAATGCGAAACATCACTGTCTCGAAAAATCAGTTCAGCTGCTACACATGAATAAGTTATTGTGCTACACATGAAAGAGTTATCGTGCTACACATGAAAGAGTTATCGTGCTACACATGAAACAGTTTTCGTGCTACACATGAAAGAGTTATTGTGCTATATATGAAAGAGTTATCGTGCTACACATGAAAGAGTTATCGTGCTACACATGAAACAGTTATCGTGCTACACATGAAAGAGTTATCGTGCTACACATGAAACAGTTATCGTGCTACACATGAAACAGTTATCGTGCTACACATGAAACAGTTATCGTGCTACACATGAAAGAGATATCGCGCTACACATGAAAGAGTTATCGTGCTACACATGAAACAGTTATCGTGCTACTCATGAAACAGTTATCGTGCTACACATGAAACAGTTATCGTGCTAGACATGAAACAGTTATCGAGCTACACATGAAACAGTTATCATGCTACACATGACAGAGTTGTCGTGCTAGCCATGAAACAGTTATCGAGCTACACATGAAACAGTTATCGTGCTACACATGAAACAGTTATCGTGCTACACATGAAACAGTTATCATGCTACACATGACAGAGTTATCGTGCTAGACATGAAACAGTTATCGAGCTACACATGAAACAGTTATCATGCTACACATGACAGAGTTATCGTGCTACACATGAAACAGTTATCGTGCTACACACGAATAAGTTATCGAGCTACACATGAAACAGTTATCGAGCTACACATGAAACAGTTATCGTGCTACACATGAAACAGTTATCGTGCTACACATGAAACAGTTATCATGCTACACATGACAGAGTTATCATGCTAGACATGAAACAGTTATCGAGCTACACATGAAACAGTTATCGTGCTACACATGAAAGAGTTATCGTGCTACACATGAAAGAGTTATCGTGCTACACATGAAACAGTTATCATGCTACACATGAAACAGTTATCGTGCTACACATGAAACAGTTATCGTGCTACACATGAAAGAGTTATCGTGCTACACATGAAACAGTTATCGTGCTACACATGAAACAGTTATCGTGCTACACATGAAACAGTTATCGTGCTACACATGACAGAGTTATCGTGCTACACATGAAACAGTTATCGTGCTACATATGCAAGAGATATCTGAGATATTTAGAGGTAGCTGCAACATACCTTTTATTGCTTCAGCATTTGAAGTTATAACAAACATTTTTGTTAAAACCAAATACCAGTAGCTGTTATCAGGGTTCCAAACCAACGCTGCTAAAGCTAGCAATTTTCCATAACTTGACATTAACAAACTTTTGGGTATGCTTTGAAAGCTGAAGACAAAAATAATTATTACTGATTGGATCATCTTTACAATTGCATTAAAAATCAAACAAGGGGATAAAACATTCAGAATTAAAATACCCCCAAACCAAATAATAGCTTGGTTTGTAAGAAAAAGAAACAAACAATTGCTTCGAATCAACGAGCATAAACTATTGCAATCTATTGCAATTTAACAGCATAAACTATTGCAATCTATTGCAATTTAACAGCATAAACTATTGCAATCCTTTAATCAGACCTCAAACTGATTCTTTTTCACGAATCCATTTAACGAAGAGATTATGAAAACTGCAACTGCATAAGATATGAATTACCTTTCAGAAAAACTCATCTTCTTGCGATTTGCAAATGATACGATTACAGATGTAACGCAGATATTAATGCAAAGTTCTAGAAAATAGGAACATTATCTTGATAAAAATGGAGGCTTGTGAACAAGGGGTAACGACAAAATTTATTACCAAACAGTTGATGGTGCAATACACAGCAATAATGCTTTTGCAGTTTGGTCGAATTCAAGGATGATATTAAAAATATGCGAGGATTAAATCTTTGAAAGTATGCGATTCAACATTCAGCCAAAAGTCGTTGGACTGTGACTTTACAGGGTTGGCCAAAAGACCCCACCAAAATTGAATGGAACTGACAAAACGCATATTGAAACGACATAAAAAGCACCAAAACCTTCTCATTTTCTGAATAAAAGACTTTCTCATTTTTGAAACCCTCTGCATTGTAAATTTTGAAACACTGCGGATAATCTTCCGCTTAACTTTCAATCAATGCATTGTAAGAATAAATTTTTTAAATGTTTTTATAAAATCGGCAATAAACACGATTCCAGTGAGACATTGAAAATAAGTTAAATTATAATTACAATCTACTGTTGAAATAAAAAGTAAAGCGGAATAGCGTTGAGAAATTAACATATAGTATTTAAGAATAACAGGAAAGGTGACTAGCATGATATAAGCTGGAGCGGTGAGAAAATGTAAGAAAAACAAAAAGTCAGGTACTGAAAGTAGATACCAAAAAGGAATAAAGATGAAAAGTCAGACGTAGGTGATGAAACGATGTAAAAAATTTAGCCATTTAACTCATTCGGAAAAAGCGATTAAATAAAAAAGCGACGTATTTGATGACGACACAATCTGGTGGCGTAATGGAGGTACCTAGGGACGTAAGGAAAAATAGAGAGGAGACCTCAATTTACGGACGGCAAGAACGTAGAGCATTTCGTGTGTAGAGCATTTCGTGTGTGTGTCCAATGGTGTAGAGCATTTCGAAAACAAACACCAAGGTGTTAAAAGACAATTTTCCTTTTAAATCAAGTTTAAGAGAGAACTGAGTGATGGAACTTACGAAACTTCGAAACGAGTGACGGATTCAACTAAATACGTTTACTACAGTCAACACATTGCAGGAAAGGGCTTCACATCAAGAAGACAAACTTCTGTTGCTACGAATACTTGAGTATTTAGCTAATACTTAAAAAGCCAAACAGTTGATCTGCTTATATGGAAATCATCCATACTTCATTTTTGCAGATCGTGAATGAAGCTAGTTGTTTGTCTATTCACACGATCATAATGAAAGACAAAGTTCATTGCTAGACACTTTGGCAGGACGACTTTGATTAAATGCATATAAAAGAACATGACCCTAGATCCCACATTACACATCGGGAAGTCAAAAATAGCGCTCGGTCTACTTGGGATCAGACGAATTGTTTATGAGGTTTTGATTAATCAGCTACACGCCAATGAGATCAAAGGACTAATTTGCTTCAGGGCAGTAGTTCCAAAAACAAGTTTACGGTGACGGTAGGATACAAACACCATATCAAATTTAATAATCCCTAGGGATATATAATCCTGTTAAGATTATCCTGTTTTTAATAACCAGTTGGATACAGAACACAGTTTAAGACCGTACAGAAACTCTAAACAAAGAACAATGAGAGACATGTACGTGCACCGTGATACGCAATTTTCTTTCTTCAAATAAATGACTAGCATTCCATCAAGCACACCAATCTCGGTAGTTAGATTTTAGTAAATCTGCTACATTGCTTCAAATAGAAACTGCAGTCTATAATTTGGACAAGACATCTTAAAATTGGGTTCAAAAGCATACAAAAATTATTATTTGAAATATTATTTGGAAGAGCGGAAACATGTTATATCATGCTAAGGTATATTTCATCAGAGTATAAACGTCGGATAGTGTCAGCAGAATAATTTGTCCTTATGCAGAAGTAATGTCAGTGGAAGAGTAGCGCTTTTTCTTGGTTCCTTGTTTGACCAATCACCGCCGCTATTCTCTCATCTTGCTGAAGAGTCCGATCCAATGAAACGCGCTACTCTTTCTTCCACGTTACTTTCGATCCGTTATTAATTTTCGGCTATCTTTAAAACATGGAATGTGGAATATTGGAATGTTGGAATGTAATTTCTGACATTCAATGTTTTCAAGGTAGCCATAAATTTTCTGCTTATCTTTGGACATTTTCGACATTTATACTCTGACGAGTGTCAGATGAAAAGTTCTTTGACATTAAATGAAATGTTTCCAAACTTCTGTGCTATTTTCAAATTTTTCGGTACCAAGGACCTATTTGAAAAATCATTATAGTAAGAAATTGGTAAAAAAATAATTACCCAATGAGCTGATTCCTAGCATTTTGTAAAACTGCAGCTCAAGGACGAGGTGCCAGTTATTAGAAAGAGATGAATCGTCGAAACAAAACTGATGGAATGCAGCCCATCTCATGTATATAAAACTTCATCAAGGATAAAGAACCATAAGTAAAAAAAGAAATGAAGACATTAGTAGAGGTTGACTTCAGTATGTTAAGGATTTTTAATTGTTGCAATGTGATTCAGAGGACGCTGTGGCTTCAACAGATACTTCAGCAGACCAATTGTCAATTGTAAAACACTTTAACATAACAATTATGTGTAACTGATGTTGGCTGCAAAGCAATCTAAAAACTTTAACATTATAACTTTAAAACTTCCTGGCATAAAATTGAATTGACAGTGGTAGAATTAGAAGTAAAAAAAGCCAGTGAACAACTGACACCTATTCACTCTATCTCTCCCTTATGTACACCACATTATATTGCAGGGTTTAAAAGCTAGGCATTTCGATTTAAGAGTAAAATTCTATCAAGGGAAAGGATACAGGTATCACATAATATGCTCAGGACGAGAAGCTGCCTCAAAACCTGAAAAAAGTAAAAGAAAAGGTAAAGAATTCAAACAACAATCAGTTTAATGATTTAATGCATTAATTTTTAAATACATATTAAGTTTTAAATACATGAGATGGGCTGCATTCCATCAGTTTTGTTTCGACGACTCATCTCTTTCTAATAACTGGCACCTCGTCCTTGGATAACACAGCCAATTAAAAACTTCATCAGAAAAAAATAGGGCTTATAAGTCTTTCATCAGAAACGGGCAGCCAGAGGATAGGCTGGAGGCCATTACTAACATGATAGCTCATGGATCAAAACTAATTGAGGACGCTAAGGAAAAATACCTTACAAAAATAGGGAGAACACTCTCAGACCCTGAAACAGATAAAAAACTCTATTGGTCCTTGATCAATAAAATCTTGAATAAAGCTAAAATACCAATAATCCCTCCCCTTTTAGAAAACGATATATTTGTGTTGGATTTTACTGCAAAGGCAGAAATTTTTAATGATTTCTTCATACAACAGTGCACCTCAATCGATACTGGTAGCGAACTTCCTCCGCCATCAGTACCCAATACTTCACTGCTCACTGGCTTTTCTTTTTCTGATGAGAAGATCCTGAATATTATCCGATCTTTGAACCCAAACAAAGCTCATGGCTGGGACGATATCTCAGTACGAATGATAAAAATCTGCGATGATGCAATCCTTCTACCCCTTAGATTAGTATTTGAGTCCTGCTTGACCCAAGGTGTGTTCCCCCAAGTTTGGAAACAAGCCAACGTAGTTCCCATCCATGAGAAGAACAGTAAGAGTCTTAAGAACAACTATCGTCCTATTTCTCTCCTTCCAATTTTCGGTAAAATTCTAGAGAAACTTATCTTTGACTCGCTTTATCACCACCTAGATACAAACAGTCTTTTAAACCAAAACCAGTCAGGTTTTCGTCCAGGAGACTCGACTGTTAATCAGTTACTATCAATCGTCAATTCCATTTTTTCAGCATTTGACTGCAATCCAACTCTTGATGTCCGTTCGGTTTATCTAGATATTTCAAAGGCTTTTGACAGGGTCTGGCACCAGGGTCTTATTTATAAACTAAGCCAAATTGGTGTCTCTGGTAAACTAATGATTTTAATACAAAGCTTTCTCAATGATAGAAAACAGCGTACAGTTTTGAATGGTAAGACATCTACATGGGGTACCGTCTCAGCTGGTGTTTCTCAGGGGTCTATCCTGGGTCCTCTTCTGTTTCTCATTTATATTAATGACTGTGATGGTTAAAGGTGTAATGTGAAATTATCTGCCGACGACACATCGATCTTTACAGTTGTTCACGATCCACATACAGCTGCCCTCGATATAAACCATGATCTGAATCTTATCGAGCTTTGGGCGCACAATTGGCTTATGTCCTTTAACCCTGACCCCAACAAGCAAGCAGTTGAAGTGACCTTTTCTAAAAATAGAATTCCAATGAATCACCCACCCATATTTTTTAATGATGTCCCTGTAAAGAACGTCCAGGAACAAAAGCACCTTGGGATCATACTAGACTCTAAATTGTCCTTTACTAGTCACATCAAGTCAATTATTTCTAAATCTAGACAAGGAATAGGGATGTTGGGATTCCTCTCAAAATACTTACCACGACACACCCTCAACGAAATATACAAACTGTATGTCCGGCCACACTTGGATTATGGTGACGTTATATATCATATCCCTCATAAAACATGTGAATTTAGTCATAGCTTTAAATTAACGAATCAAATGGAGAAACTTGAGGCTGTACAATATTCTGCTGCATTAGCAGTAACTGGCGCTTGGAAGGGCACATCGCGTGAAAAAATATATGAAGAGCTTGGCTGGAAGTCTCTCGACCTCCGTCGATGAAGTAGACGTCTTGTCCTCTTTTATAAAATTTAACTCCGGATTACACAAGAAATCCTATACCCCAACGCCAAGAGTCAAACTACAGTCTGCGCAGGCAAGCTACAATAGGGCAAATACGTGAGAATACAGAAAGATTTAAATCAACTTTCTACCCAAACTGCTTGTCGGAATGGGTAAAACTTGACCCTGAAATTCGTGAATCCCGCTCAGTGAATGTTTTCAAGTAACAACTTCTAGGACTCATTCGTCCACCCTCTAAATCGGTCTACGGAATTCATGACCAAAACTTTTATCTGTTTTAACGCAGCTACGCGTTGGACTAAGTAAGTTAAATTACCACAAATTTAAACATAATTTTAGGGATACTTTTAATCCCCTGTGCCTGATAAATGATGGTATTGAGGATACGGAGCACTTTTTGCTGCTCTGCAGTGCCTATGACATACACAGACGTGATCTTCTCGACAGCGTTGATACAATATTGCGTCCTCATGGCCTATCTAACCCTCCAAACAAAGAACTATTGCAAATACTCCTTTATGGCCATGAAAAGTTACCTTTTGATTCAAATACAAACATTCTTGATGCAACATTAAAATACATTCAGGCCTCAGAACGGTTCCAGTAAGTTATCAACTTTCTCGTGAAAACCTCTCTCGTGTAAATTATTTTCTCTTTTGTGCAAATTTTATTCCTTTTACGATTGGAGTGGTGTCGCTTATCATATCTGGGCGCAAATTTGTTTGATTAGCAAAGAACATAGGTAGACTTGATATCTTCTTTTAAAAATGCTTTTTGTGAGTATTTGTCATATCTGCAACGCTATTGGAATGATGGGCGACACCACTCCAATCACTTTTGTAGCTTATTATTGTAATATTTGTGTCTCTATGTTAAGTGTAAGTCTTAGGGTTGTTATGCATTTCCATGCTCCCTAGGCTTTTGTATTGTAACTGTTGTCGTTGTAAATTTAAAAAAAAAAAGTTTAATGATGTATAACTTAGGTGAATATTTTCTTTAAAACTGCCAAAGTGAAAAATGAATATCCTGTCTATCTTATCAGAACGAATATCCAGTCAAAGGCAGCCAAGAATAATCACCAGATCGAAAGATCTGGCACTAAGGAGAAATAAACCTCTTGGTCTATATATGAAACAAAGGATAAAGAATTCTTGGTCTATATATGAAAAGGTTTGTTCTAATGGAAAAAGTTACTCTTTCGTGAAAAAATAAGCTCAAACAAACAGGTTGAAAAACGAATATTTTCATTGGAAATGTGGATTTTGAAGGAAATTTGCATCTTGGAATACGGCTAGAAGAAGGTTAAGTTAAATTGGCCTTAATGAATTGGAAAAAAATAATTGACTTAAATCTTTTGCAGAATTTGCATTTAACAGGGCCGGATTAAGGGGTGAGTCCAAAAGGCTTGGGTCCTGTCACATCAAGAGGGGGCCTGTCACAAATATGGGCAATAAGCTTGAATAAAAGACTAGCCATTACTAGATACACATCACTAAAACGCAATAAGATTAGAGGTTTTAATTAATACTTCACATGGAACATGGAACCAAAAGTACCCCAAAGCAGTGGCGGACACTTGAAGGGGCAAGGGGGGGCGACCGCCCCCCAATACTTTGGAGGACAATGGTCTTTTGTTCTAAAGCAATGGGAAATGTGACGTCATCTTACTGAAACAATAGGCTTGCCCCCTCAATATTTGATAAGTGTCCGCCCCTGCCCCAAAGTCGTCCGGTTTTGTTTATGAATGAAATCATTGTTTGTAATATCATCCTTTTTTTCTATAACATTCACCTCAGAACTACCAAGCTTGATTGTTGAACAAATAACATCAGAATCACGACCTACTGAATTTAATAAATTAAGACTTAATGCATTTAATGTAGGTATCTCAGGAAATTGATCAAAGAGATCCTTTCGCTCATTTGTAAACAAAGGGTAGAGCAGGAGGAAATTCATGTTTTCCTCTTCCCCATGCCCGCAATGAAAAATCGGACACAGGCAGTCAAAGTAATGCAGAAATCTATGTTCATTTAATGCAATAAACCTTACTGGCAGTGTTGTTAGAGTCCTTACCTCAACAATGCATGTAGATTTTAAGTTAATTTCTTTGATGGTCTAATAATGGCAAGCAGCTTACATCTGAACTCTGAAATCGGCTTTGCACTTTTTCTCATTACCGAGCAAGTTTCATTCAGAAAGTGTGCTTGAGAAAGTGCACCTGTTCCTATCCAGTTGCCAGGTATTGGGTCTTTTTAGACCATTTCATGATATTCATCATTAATTTTTGATTATCCTCATGATAAATAATATCAAGGTAATCGTGGTGTGAGAGGCATCCAGCCATAACAATGCTTTTCTTGCCTTAGAAAAAAGTGTGACTGAAAGTTCCATTTTTTGTCGATGGTCATGCCAAGATGCTTGTGCTCTATCTACTTTTATCCTTTGAAGACAAACAACAGATATAAAAGGTCTCTTGTCCCAGGGGCAAGCTAAAAATAACAGCCAACAAGCATGGTTTGTAAGATTTGGCATGTGATTACTAGTTCATATTTTGTGTTGTTCTCTTTGCCAAACGACAGGACAATTATAAGTGGAACAATAGGAAGGCACTTCACAGTGTGCTAAACACCACAACTGAATTGAGTAGCATTGATAAGCAACTCTTAATTTCACCTAAGCAGTGTTTCCAGGACATTTTAACAATTGAGCTATTTTTGAACAACTTGGCTTAATAACTGTCATTTGTCTTTAAGTGAAGAAAAGAACCTCCTCGCCTGGTCAAAATTGAAGTGCATCTTCCACTGCCATGCTCACAAACATAATATTCCTAAACCGCTATTCACAGACGTACGAGACACAGAGGTGTAAGAGCTGTAGCCCCCCCTCTAAATCAGACAAAATTTAACAAATTACAGGCCTATTCTCTCAATTGATGTCAAGTTCTGCGCTTTTGATTATTCTAACCGTCCAGCAATAACTGATAAGCTTTAATACCATAAAAATATAATTTTTCGAAAAAAGTAGAGAAACTAACCTTTACTTCAACATTGAACAAGACATGGCGATATGCTTTTGAGTTATGCAGAAGGATATCCAAAAGGACCATAACACTGTCATATTCAATATATTTATCAACAACATCACCACAAGTTACCTAGAATGTGTTGAAAAATTCATCACAATATAAATCAGATAATATATGATGCACAAAACTAACATTTCTAAACAATAAATTCAAGAAAAAAAAGCTATGAACAGTAACATATTAACAAATTCACTTCTGATCAGGAAAACTTGATGACCAAGGGGTACTAATTAAACTGCTTCTCTTGTTGTATTCCTTGCAATAGTTTATGAAGAGGGTCTTGTGTAAGTATAAACTATTATTGAATATAAAAATTTTTTATAGATGCAATTTGAAATGGTGGTTTGAACATTAAAATAAAAAAGAAACAATCAGAGATACTTTGTCCCATCAGTGAATTGTTTATTCTTGGCGATATCAGCAAAAGTCCTTTCAATAAAGAAACTTACAGTTTAGAAATAAACTTCTGTTGAAACTTCTCCCATGTCTGAAATATTTTTACTGATTTAGACCTTATTTAAAGGTAATGTGTCCGTATAAAAGAACTGCGTATACCCAACTTGTCAAGCCACCCATCAAAATAACGGCTTGCAATTGGTTAGTATTCTTGCGATGCAAAACTGCTCACATGAAAAGCTGACCTCGCAGCAGTATAGATAAACAAAACAACCATAATGGCTGTGGCGATGACATGAAAAATCACATGTTTCCAGAAACCCCCGCAGAATCGCTTGCTTTAGCTGGACACATTACCTTTAACTGAAATCTGTGCTCTTTGAACCCTGCCTGTACTTAGAAGTGGATAAATATCTTTATGCAAAGGTTTTGAAATAATTCATCAAGATTTTTTAGTACTATACCAGTGACTATATTTTGGTATATATAAACTTTTTAACTTACAAAGCTATATTAAAAATTGGCAAGCCAAAATAGGAAATATTCTCCAACAACTTATTGTGGTACAAAAATTTGCAATGGCTTTGAAAAAGCAAACAGCTTGATAAATACCATTTCATTTACTAAAGGAATGGGGCAGTTTTTAAAGAAAAATTCTAATTTTATATATTTTTAACTTTAATAGAAACAATAAAAATAGGTTAAATGTCTTTATGTTAGTTTTTTAATTTTATTTGTATTTCTTTAAACAGGAGGTCCACATCAGCTTGCATAGCTGCCAGTATTTTAACCTCCTCATAAAACAAATTTGTATGTATGTATTATGGATGTATATAATGAAGCATTTAATCTTACACTCTTTAGAGCATAAAATGTCAGAACATATACATAAAAAATCTAAGCTAGGAACTATTGAGTTAAAATGGGCCAATCAGAAATGCAAGAAAATGGTGCACAATTCTATGTCTGAACAAACAACCCAAACATTTGGTGATATAATAAAACAGTATGTCCCTTCTAACATTGCAGATAAAAATGATAACTAAGCTTCAGTCTTGCTCTCAGTGCCTTAACTGCCAACTTAGATTGTACCAAAAGTATAATGGTGACATGTTTGAGAATATTGGTAAAGCCTAGTTGCTGTTCTATCGGGCAGATATAGAATCTACCTACATTTTAAATGAAAAAAAACTGCTATTGTGAAGACAGAGTAATTTTTTACACATTTTAGCTCCACTGGCAATATTTTCAATGGAAAAATGGCACTGATTGGGCAACCTTTACAGACATGTGCTCCCATTTCTGATTGTCCTATTTGAATCCAAATGTTTTCGATCTGTGCATTTACATTTTATGCTCTTAATAGACTGTTTGATTTTCAAAGCCAGAGGCATCAATCAACCCATCCCCCCTACTTTTTCACTTATTAGAAAAGAATGCAAAATATTAGAAAGTGAACCACCAGTATTTTAGCCTCTTTCAGTTCGGTTTTAGCCCCACCCACTTTTTTATACCCCCCCCCCTTATTTTCTCAACACTCCTCATTGCATGCTTTGGCTTAAAATGATAAAAAAATTGGCAGTTTGTTAAATTAGTGAAAACCACTGATCTATGGTGAAAACCCAGCTTGCACATCCTCGGATTCATGAAACGAAAAGCGAGGCTATGTAGTTTTGTCAGTCACCATATTTTACTCACACATTGATAAAGCTTGATAGCTCCACTGGGGTATTTCTTGAATTTCAATGCCGAGTATGACCCACACTCTACACAAATAAAAGTTTTTGGCTTTGGGTTCGCAGATGTCACATCCATAATCCGCCTGTGTCCAAGCAAGTCCAAGCAGCGCCAATGAGCAGCCCTCTCTCGAATGAAATCGAGGCCAAGACATCAGTAATCAATAGAACTTCCAGAGAGAACTTCTGAAAACAAATTTTAAAAAACCAGAGCGAATTTATTGAAAATGGAAAATATTTTAAGTAGATATCTAAGATTTTCGTTGATGCGTGGGATGACTGTCGTAGCTGGTTTCAAGTTAGGACTTGGAAGACAGTCGTTTAGAGCGATTCATATATGCAAGTTCCACAGACGCCTGAAAGACAAATCGATTTTTGCCAGAGAATTTTCTTCAAGTGAAGCAAAGGATATTATCAATGATGAATCAGTTATAACTTCTAAGGACATGAGAAAAATCCTAAAAGCATACGTTGGCACAGGAGATTTCTTTAAAGACAATAGCAGAAACAGTTCAGCCTCCACTTTGTCACAGGACGATCTAGAAACTAGGACAGTAAATGACAGTGTTAAGCGAGCAGTTATACCCCTTGGGGAAGACCCACTTCGACGGGATAAATATCTTACATTCTATAAAACTGTTCGAATTGGTATGTTGCTTGAAGATATGGACACCCTTGCTGGACTTGTTGGCTACAAGTATTATAAAGGACCATCAACAGAAAGAACAGCACCCTTTGCTCTGGTCACTGCAAGTGTTGACAAATTTGACATCAGAGAAAGTTATATTCGGTCAGATAGAAATATCTGGATGACAGGATTTGTTTCTTATGCTGGCAAAACATCACTAGAAATTACAATTCATTTAGGTGAGATATTGGCATGATGCACATGAAATTGAGTCATAAACGCAAATTTCTATAGGGGCTTTTCACACAGGGAATAGCAGTTAGGCAGTTGTCAGAAGTTTGCCTGAATTATATCCAGACTGTCAGGCTCCACAATGTAAAAATTTACCAGTGAATCAACAAACAACAGTCCCTTTTAATACGGTTTTAGCCCCCCCCCCCACCTTTTTTATAGACATCCCCCACTTTTCTCAATGCCCTGCAGTGCAAAATAAAGACTCAATGTTTGCCAGAGCTACCTTTTGTTTGTTTTAGGCAATTTGGCTTATGATTGGTATACAACTAATGTAAAACAGATTAGTTAGTTCCATTAAAGTGAAGAGTAAGATAGTTATATTTCAACTGTCAGCTGTTTTAGCCAATCTATCCAAAAGATAATCCTTTCTACTGTATCGTAAAACCTTTCTTTTATAGCTAGGTAATAGCAATTATAATCAATTTTACTTGTAAAAAATGATACTTAACATCTATCTCTATAGACATTTTTGAGACGTGAAAAATATCTTTGATGATATTCTGCCAATCAAGTTTAATCTCATGACTCAGTTTTGTGTAGCCACATGTTTTACTTTATTCCTCCTTGTTGTATGTATACAGTTCCAGCCAACCAGTTAGACACAAAATGCATTCTGATTGTTGCACACCCATAAGAAGTTTTATCTTAAAAATGTTATCAAGACATATGAAGAAAAAGATTTAAAGAATACTATTTTGCAGTACAAGAACATAAAAACTTTCACATGTGCTTTGCTGGTTGATGCACATGGCTGCTTGTCCACAGCTAATCATGCACCATAACTTTCCCTCTTACACACATTTTTCTGACCCTGGTTAGAATAAAATTATTGAAGTGAGCCTATATTTTAAGATTGTGCACTTATAAAGCCAAACAGATATTTTACCCTATTAATTCCCTAATTTACTCAAAACCACAAAGCTAGTAAATTTGTCCAAGGTTTTAAGCATGCTGAGCCCTCCCTTTTTAAAAAGATAGAGTTTTGGACAAAATAGAAACTTCCAAGATTTATTAGTCTTCAGCTTGTTCAGAGAGGATAGCACCACCCTTGGTCCCTCCCACAATGCCTTTAAAACCAGCATGGCAACATTCACAAAAGGTCATTGTTGATTTCAGTGATTCAACTAGAGGCAATGGTAAGTACAGAGGGAAAGGAGGTTAATATTTTTGGGTAGGCAATTATAGTCTCAATTTTCTGATACAGTAGTTACAATCCTGTTATAATGTACTTGGTTGTAACCTACTTTTGGATATGACATAGAGGTGTACTTTGTCCCAGCACAAGGTGCGTACTTAACATTAAACCCCATTTATAACATTCTCATTTATAATGTACTCGCTGTCATAGCATGCTTCTTCTGCAGCCCTTCTAAACAAATTCCATTGGACACAACATACTTCTTGGGTCTTCTTTGTTAAAAATCAATTGTGTTGTGTCACTTGATTCAAGTTGCCATGTGTCATAGGAAAAGTGAGATGTCAACCTTTGCAATTGTTTGATAACATTCTATTATTTGATAACCTTTGCGATTGTTTGATGAAATGCTGTATACATTTAACAACAATTTCAGATTTGTCGAAACATTGAAAATGTTGAGCAAAATTGATGCTGCAGTCAATGATTGCATAAAAGCTATACTTAAATTCTTCTAGTCCTCACCCATCCCGCTCTTGCCCCATCCAGGGCCGGATTAACCAAAAGGCCAACTAGGTCATGGACTAACAGGGGCAGCACCAGCCCCAAAATAGTGGGGTGGACATTAAAGGGGAGGAGCCCATAAAGGAGTCTAGATGAGAAACCGGTGCAACACAGGAGGAGAAATGGTGCTCATTACTGATAATCAAGTTTGACTTACTTTGTAACCCTCAAAAGAAGTATTCAATTTCATTGAGTAGAAGAGTTAAATTTCATAGGCAAAGGTTGACACACAAAAAAACTAATATCAATGTAATCAGAGTGGTAATTTTTAGCTAGCAGTGGTTTTTAATTTATTAATGAGGTTTCCCATGTCTTATTTATCTGCCATATCCCACTTGATGCTAATTTGAACAAGGTTTTCCAAGCTTTCGTCTGGAATTGAGGCTCAAAGGTAATTGCTGATGATCTTTACCCAATAAGGTGTCTTTACCTTGTTGTGTGGCCTTTCGCTTGATGAAACTGTAACAGGTGGGGCTGAAACTTTGCTATCCTTAGAGCTTAACAAATGTTTGGGTACAAGTTTTTAAGTTAAGTATTGCCAAAAGATCTGCAATAGTCTGGATTGGGCCCTCAAAAAACCTTTGCTGACCCCGCCCTATATTTTCACCATTAATGCGAACGGAACCACACCATTTTTCCACAAATATACTAGAAAAAAGGATTCATTAGTGGTTTTTATTGATATTGCAATTTAAATCTCAGCTAAGGCGACTGGTAATACCAGAGGTCGTGTGGTTGCTCTTTTGACAAGTCATTAAAAATATCAACATATCTGTAACTTCTTCAACTTGATGAAAAACAATGAATCAAGCGTTGAAGTATAAAATTTTCTGCTCTTTATGTTTTCTTTCTTTTTTTTCATTTTTCGACATTTTATTGTCTTCTTCAGTAGGATATACACTTGAAAACCACTATTGTTTGGAAAAATTCGACGGATAGTTAGGCCAACCATAAAAGTTCACCAGGTATGTTTCGGGCTGCCAAGAGGTTTTTGAAGTCCTGAAGATGGGAAAATGAGAAAATTTTGGCAAACACACCCTTTAGATTAGCTTAAAAATAAATTTCACAATTATTTCTTGCAGTCATTTTTTGCATTTGTTTAAATCGTTTTGCTATTTTGTAGGTATGTTTTTGTTCATTTGATAAATTTAGTTCTTAAAATGATACTCATAACTATATGAGGCCCCCTACATCTTGGGTAATTTACCCCCTGCTCTCCGTTTAGGCTGTGAAATTCCTTTTTCATAGTTCAGAAAGTTTGAAGTTTTTGTGAAAAATGCGTACCATTTGCCGCCATGGCTGTAAATACTATAGTTAATCATTGCACAAAAGCAGTTCATGCACTGCAAAACCTGGTTTATCACTGTACAATATCAGGTTATCACTGCACCTTAAAATTAACCTTCTGTTTGCTGACATTGTTTTTGACTGACCAGAGATTGAGCACTTTTTACGGGGGATAATTATGGCAAACTTTGATTTATTTTACTTATTTGTCATCCTCATTTACAGATCAAGAAAACGGAGAGTCAAGAAAACGAGTTGCTGATGCAACATTTGTTATGGTTGCAAGAGATCCAGTAGAGCAGCAAGGGGTGTTTGTGAATAGATTAGTACCTCAGACACCAGAAGAACAAGAAATTTATAACAAAAGTGCAAAAAGCCGCAAAGAAATGAAGCTAAGCAAACAACAGTCACTTTTTAAAGCCGCTCCAACTGCAGAGGAGAGGAATATCATACATGATCTCTTCCTGACTACACTGGATCGGACAAAATCCACTTTTCATAATAGAGTTAAGCCTCCTAACACTGTATGGATGGAACAGACAAGGTTAAAAAACCTCATAATCTGTCACCCTCAGGTAACAATATTTGAACATCGAACTGTTGGAGTTAACCACTTGTCAACTGCTAGTCGAATGATCCTTTTTACGATCGCCAATGTCGACACTTAACAGTATTTTAGAAAAAGCCAATCCGGCAACATTTTGATTGGGGCGGTGCTCCCTGGCCTACGTATCTTACGCTCTGCTTGTTGAAATAGCAAAAACAGTAAAGTTGAAGTAACAACATTTTGAATACGAATGTGTTTCATCTGTACTGCAGTGTCTGTCATTCAAGCTATTGATCAAATGTGTTTACATCGATTCCACTGAATTTATGAAAGCCAGCTATTTTTCAGTCTAGGAATGTGTATAACAAGATATTTGGTGGCTTTCTCATGCGAGAGGCATTTGAATTGGGATGGGCAACCACTTGTGTGCATATCAAGTCAAGACCCTCTATAATCAGCATGGATGACATAAATTTCCGGAAACCTGTAGAAGTTGGATCTCTGCTCTATCTCTCTAGTCAGGTATGGAAAGCTCTTTTTCAAACATTGTATTGTTGCAGCACCTTAACTTCGTTAAAACTGTCTGAGTTGCCTCGTCTATTGAAAAAATTGTATATTTTGTTTAATCAGAGTAACTTCATAGAAGAAAAGACACACCTGCCAGGAAATTTGAAGAAAGTTCGAATATCTTTTCTGAATCTTAAAACAAGAGCTTTCTACGATGATTTCGCTAAAATGAGATTTCCAAAAGAGCAGAAAAAGAAGATATATCATTGTTGTACAATAACAGATGACAGATTTAATAAGAACAATTATAGACCCATACTGGTATTACCGTCAATTTCTCAAACATACGAAGTAGTTATCGAAATGACATTGAAGTCTATTTTGAAACCATTCATCCATAATAATTATATATTTTTCTAATGTTTCTAAAGTCTGTGTAATGTTTCAATCTATCGCATAAAGTATAGAACCGTCAGCGCAGTTGCATACTTGGCTATTTGCCATATACATTAACAAATCATTCACATTTACATTAAACATTTGAGGTCTTAAAACTGGTCCTTGTGGTACACACGAGCTCGTGAATTTCCATACAGTAATAGAGCAGTTGACCTCTTGTGCATAAATCACAGGGCGGTTTTACTAAAACCATAATCCATGGCTCAAACAATCTAAAGTTTAGATATATCCACCAGAAGTGTAATACCTGCCCATTTAGTATCTACAGCCCATTTTAAATTTATATAAACATTTGAAATTGAAGTATGCTGTGTGCTGTACTTTCTAAAACAACTTAGTAGTGGTGACAGGAAACCATGAGCGAAAACCTTCTGAGAGATTAAAAACCTTTTTGATACCAAAGCAACTCCATCTGTGCAGAGTTTTGTTTATTGTTAATCGATTCTCGCATGTTATGTATCTTTATCCCATAGAGTTTCATTTTGGCATTATTCCAATATCCCCCTACTTTTTAAATATTTTCTGACTTTCCAACCCCCTGTCTTTTTCTGACTCCCATCTTTTGAGTACCTAAGAGTATACGGGTGGGTCCGTGTCAATTTTTGAAATCCCAGATTTTCAGAAATTCAGGATCTCTGATTGAGAAAATTCATAAGTTATCAAAAACAGAAAAATCAAACATTTAAAAGAAATAATATGATAGGGCAAGGTGTAGAGCCTACCATGTAGAATTTTACGTGTAACAAAAACCCTTTTTGCACATGTATGAAATATTGAAGTATTTTGCATCTTTTCAAATGGGTTATAAAAATAACTGAAAAATTGAATGTATTGGGGTTATTTTTATATATTAAAATGCTGATATGGATCCCACACAGAGAGAGACAAGGAGATCCCTTTTTCCATGAAGTGACGCGCTCTTCGGCTTACTCAAAATTTACTCAAATTTAGGAATTTTGCCAGAACTGTTCTTGGATAAAATACTTAAAGCTCTTTTACATTTAAATGACAAATTAGAGCTTTTAATCCAAACGTGGAAAAACGAAAAATTAACAGCAACACCAATAAGGTATCTCAACTGTTAGACAATAGACCGTTGTTAAACAGTTATAAAAACAATAGAAAGCATATTACTCACCATGCGTTTTTCACTCTTGCTTCGTTCTTTGTCTTATTTTGGTTTGCGAACTGAAGGTAGAGCATCACGTTGAAACAAATGTTTTGATGTTTTCGGTGTCAAAATCAGGCAGAGAGGAGAATGTACGCGTACAATCAGTCGAAAGAAGGTGCTCTTGAGTAAGATGATGGCTCGATATCTTTACGTTGGGGCAGGTTTTCCCGTCTGGCAGTCAAGCACAACGGTATCTTCCACAAGGGGGTATTCATTTCCAAAAGTCATGTACACTGGTTACCGGAATGCTCTTGCCCGTTTTATGGTAAAAGTCTTCTAATTTTGTTCTTATAGAACATGTCTATTTTAAAATAAGTTTCCTTGCAAATAAACTTGGCTTGGCCATATGATAATATCGTGAGTTGCGAAATTATGACCATGGCTGGCGATGTATACCTCACGTTATTTCAATTTTTATCAATTATATTAGGAACGAAAAATTTTCCTAAATTACTTTCTGACCTTTGATGGCATTGCTTGAGTTATCTTAATAAAACTTGTGGGTGTTGGAAAATCCCGTTTTTTTGAGGAAAGTAAGTCGCAAATAAAAAAAACTAAGTTCACCATCATTTCCAGCGATGTCTCTTTGATGATTTAAGCGATTTAACTCAAGTTTCACGAAAGAGATCTTTATTGAGAATACTACAGGCTACAATCTGAGAAGCACATTCCGACTTGCACCATCAAAGTTGAGAGTAAGCTGGCATGGTTCAGAAAATGCAATTACAGGGTTGGTAAATTCTGGCATGATTAAATTAAACAGTCTTCAATCCTAGCAATATTTAAGAAAATACTAAAAACTTGGAATAGGGCAAAGTGCATCTGTAAGTTATGTAAACCTTTTATAGCCCAGGTTGGATTCTTGGCATAAGATTCGTCATTATCTGTACAGAACCACTGAAATATTTTGTAATTTTTTATTCAGATTGTCTTATAATACTGGAATCTATTTTTTGTGAGAACCCCCAAAAGTTGTTAAAGAATACTTTTCTTTTAATCTTAGCAGTATTTTGCAATTGTTAGGTTAATTCTTTATTTTTATGGCAAATAAATAGATAATATTTATAATGATATTATATGTCAAAGCTTGCGATAGGCATTGTAGTTTTGCATTGCATTGTAGTTTTACAAATTGCAAGTTTTCGACCACCCATTGAACTGTCACCTTTCTCTTTAAGGTGGCTAGCATAGTTTCGCAGTCTTTATTCGAACTTTTAAAGAAGGAGTGCTAAAGGCAAAAATACAGTAACAGCACAGTTGTGTATTCGCGAGTTGAGTTGAACACATCTTCGTTTGGGTGCAAACCCATTCAAATTGCCAGGTTTTCTTACAATTTTGGGCAGTAACATCTGGATAGTCCAGTGCTCCTATCTATAAGTTACGGTACACAGCGCCGAACCCTGCAATCATTCACTTGACTTTTTATTTTGTGTTGTTTTTAAAGTGATCAATAATCAATTAATCTGCTTTGTTATAGATTGTTTTTACTGATGGAAACTACTTGCAAACAAGAGTTCATGCTGAAGTTTTAGATCCAAAGACAGGACACATAGACACAACGAATGTATTCCATTATCATTTTACAAGCAAGCAAGAATTTCCACGAGTCATTCCGATGAGTTACGGTGAATACATGCTGTATTTAGAGGGAAGAAGGCACGCAGAAAACTATACAAGGAAGCAGCAAAGTAGTGATGAGAGTGTTGGCTCTTTATAAAAGTTAGAAAGATTGCGTTTCGTTCCCTGAATACAAAATTGAAGAATTTCTTTGAGGTAATCTTCCCAATGGAAGTTTTTTGAGATGTTCGATGTAACTCATATATGTCAGCCACTAACTACTTTTGTCGTTATGAATAAGTGAAATGTCTTTAATCTTTCGGTATCATGTCTTGATTTACTTTCTTGGGGAGTACTTTTGCTGCTGGTAGAACTTTCATAACAAAACAGAGGTTTTTACTCTAGAATTTGCTCTCATTCCTGCCTTTATGATTCCTGGCATTTTTGTAGATGGCACTAAGTGTTTAAATGAAAATGCTTCTTATTTTTACATCTACAATCAAAAGTCATTAGCTAGTAAGTCACTGTGTAGCGCTTGTCCTGGAAAAACTTTTCTGATGTAAAAATTTGTATTTTGAAACTGTTCATTTTTCTTATAAATTTGTGACAGTAGTTTACTACTTGACGAACTGTCAAGTAAAATGTATTACTGTTAATATAATTTTCCAATTGCACTTCTTCTCGAGCATCTATAAAAAATAAAATAAGTTTACATGTTATTTATTTGTTTTCATCCAATTTTGAAGTGACTTGCGTTTTTCAAAGCTAAGAGTATTTTGTTTGTCATAAGACATGACTTTAGAAATTTAAAAGTACAGCTTACTTGGATTTAATGAGTAGGGATTTTTTCGAACACACACTTTTTAAAGAAATGCGGAATTTTCATTTTTTCCCCTTTCTAAACAATGTAACAGCAACAGAATGGTAACAGTCACAGAAGGCAAATGAAAATTATTACAGTATAAAACGTCCGTTTAATGTACCAATCTTGTTCCTCTGCGATGTTTAAATACACTTTTCTAAAGGATCGCCTTGCAAAATATGGAAACCTAAAAAGATCTAGAGTTAACGAATTAACAACGATTTATAGTGCAGCTTTAACTTTTTTATTGTCATGCAATCATCTTCGTTGTCATCCCTTTAGATTATACTAACACTACTTCGTTGTTAAGATAAATATCCAAAACTAAATGCCAACAAAATGATCAATAATGTCTCTGGAAGAGACTGAAGGACCAGTAACTTTCTGACGAACGTTTCATCGAATTAGAAAAGATTCCTCATTCAACTGCACCTACGCAGGTAAAAAATGCGCCATTGCTGTATCCGCAGGTAAATATATATTCAATTACCGTTACAACTGTAATGTTGAAGAATTTCAATACTTTGATGACTCAGAAAATTGACTGAGACTTAAAAGTTAATGTATGCCTACGCTTTTCTTTCAAGTAGACAACTTTATTATGTGGCTGGACACATCTACTGTGGCAATGGTTAAGTACCTGGCCTGCATTAGTCACTACGACAACAGAACTGTAATGTAAGCGCTTCAGAGGTTGATCCAATAAAACACCCTCCATTTGCATCCAGGATATCCGCTTTCATTTCCACACAGGTTTATAGTGTCCATGGCATAACCAATTTACATGTGCCCTTTGCCCTGTCTCGTACGTTGTGGTCGCACTGTAGGTTGGCGAATACGTAACGGGTTCAAATTTGAGAACAATAATTCTTCACAATAATTTTCTTCTTGGTCAAGTGTTTATCTATTTTCCCCAGCGGCGTAGCTGCAGGGGGGGAGGTTGTTGGTTTTTTCTTCAAAACCTCTTATATAAACAACCCAGGAGAATCGGTCCTACGAAGCGTTTTTCAATCACTATGAAGAAATCAATAGAACTGACAGGCGCGGATCCAGAAAATTTTTTGACAGGAGTAAATAGTGGGGGTCCGAGGGCTGAAACCCCCGGGGAATTTTTCGTGACCACGCCCTTGGGATTGGCAGAGATCGCACCTTTTGAAGATGGTAACGCCCTGTACTTCTCTTTTTCATATAATCAACATTACACTCTTTTTTTTATAAGAACAATTTTATAAGAACACGAGCCTCAAAACTGGTCAAAAGTTAAGAACAAATTAAGAACAAGCTGAGGCTGAGCTTCTGCAAAATGCAATTTCGAACAATGTTTTTTCTCAAAATCGAGGATTTTTAGCGATGTGTGGGTGCTTTTTCGGTGAACATTCAAATTTGTCAGCAAATTAAGGCTGTCTCACTCACTTTGTTGGCAAATGAACACCTCCTTTGAGCGAAAAAGCTAGCAATAGCACTGCCAACACCCTCTTAATTTAATAACAAATTAAGAACAATCCAGCCTCAAATTTTCGAAAAAATTAAGAACAGTCAGTCTGAACTTAAATTTACTGGTTCTTATAAAAAATGAGTGTATTTTGAAATCCTATAGTTTTTCAACATTTTTAAACGTGCGTGCTCTTTCGACGTCAGGGCACTTACTTGGCTATATAGCTCTATCATAATCTGTTAACGTTCGTGCATTGTCTTGTGTACAGTATTGTTTACATGCAATGGGCTTTTTTGAGCTGTTGATTTTATGTGAATTATCTATCATACAACTGTTTATTGTGCCCTACTACGTTTACTATGGTTTACTGGAAGCTCTTTGAACTTCCAGCAAATTTGCTAATACTTCTTCAACTCAAGTGAAAAGAGGCTCCCACACTATCATAGTTCCAGGGGTGAGAAGCCTGGCTCTCTACCTTTTAGCCTTGGCCCCCTACTTTTTAGCCTTGGCCCTCCACTTTCAAATTCGTGGCGCGGGCACTGACTTCTATTATTATTCTTGAATAAGCGTTGTCTATCATTTGCCGAGTTCAAATTAAAGATCACTGATTCGCAAAGACCTTTATAAATAAACTTGAGTTTAGGACAGACATGACCAAACCCATTCGTATGTAACCAGAACTTTTTATGTGGAAAAGAGGTGGTCAAACCCAGTGGCATAGCATGACTTTTTTAACTGGGTATTCTCTATTAAACAAAAGGGTGGGGCAGGGTGTGGCTCGATGGGGCTTGATAAAAATAGAGGGATAATAGGAAGATTAAAAGGACTAGCTATTGACATTTTATCTTATTCTGTTTTTGGTTCGGTTGGCAAGTACTGCACTGTCAGGGCATTACTATGATGAAAACGATACTTTGCTAAAGAACCCAACGCAAATACACTCTTCGAACACATTCATTGCATCAAATTACCACTAACCATTTCATCAAAAGTAATTCAAATCGGAATGTATCATTGAAAGTCAGTAAAATTTTACTGGTCGAAAGTTGTTGTTGAATCCTCTAAAATTTGCACTGATGTAAAGAGAAAGTAACTGTAAACACTTTCTCTTGATACCTTAATACAAAAGGGCTTTCGAAAGTTTCAAAATTATTCACATAGGGCATTACACGAGTTATAAATAGTTTATGGTATGCAGTAAAGACTTGTTCTTCATAGCCTAATCGTGATATTTTCAATACAAGTTAATGTTTGAAAGAATCGAAGGTAATGAGACTGCACCAAAATGCAAATAAATGCGCTCGAATAATGCAAACAAAATAGGCCAACAATATAACTGAATGCACCAGGCAACTATAAGGATAATATCCAGGCCTATCTGCATTTATATACTAAAACGCGTGCGGTACAATATAATGAATTTAAATAACGACGAATGTAAGTAAATTGTACCAGGAAAATTTTTTTCTAAAATAACATTCTAAAAATTTTTCAATTTTTTCTATCTGCATTTTCTTTAATTCTATCACATGATACAAACAGAAGCATCCCTGATTGACAAGCAATAACAAAATTGGCATTTCAAGAGGGCACAGATCTGAGTCAGTGTAGTTATATGCAGAAGCCTACCTTTCCTTTCCACTTTGCTGTTGTTAGATTAAGATTAGGGGTCAAATGAGAGAATGATTACGAAACAGTAATACTCTAAAGTCCTTAAAAGAAGGGGGATGCTTATTAATTTTTGATTTTTATGACCCCCCGGAGCTTATTTTGACCCCCTGTTTATTAATTTTTATATGCACTTATTCATATTCCTTATTTCATTTGTCCTATGATCTTGCAATTTCTGTAAAGGTTCTCTTACTGCAATTTCTGTAAGAGGTTTCATTGTACAAACGTTTTAACATAGAAAAGTAGTGACATCCTAAAAAATTTACAAGGCTTGACTGATGTCCACAATGATAATTCGCCTGCTCATTTTAGTAATGCAACAATACATTATTACATGATGATGATTGTCATTTTGCTATCGATTGTATTCAGAAGAAAATCTCATTTGACCCCAAAAAAGAATCATCACGTGATTTCTCAGATTTTTTACATTTCCGACCCCCCCCCCCACTTACTAGGACCCCCGCTTATTTATTCTTGAAAAATTTCTGACCCCCCCAACTATCAATACTTTCTATTAAGGATCTTAGAGTATGGGCATTGCAATAGCTTTTGAATGAAGTCATGTTTACTGTTTTCGATGAAGATCCATCACTCCAACCGCTCCGACGTCCATTAACTGTTTATATCGATCTCAAAACGAGACTATTCTGAACCAACTTTGAGGCTGTACGCTGCATATTTCTCAGCGTAAAGGACCATTATTTTAGCTGATTAACTGCAAATATTATTCCTGGAAAGGAGCATTTTGATTGGTTAAAGTACCATCTAGGGTATTCACTGCGTATTAATGACCGATCTCTATTCAACATGAAGTAGCTCAATCTTCAATATTAGCTTCAAAGATCTCCCAGCTTCTATTTGCTTCGCAGCGTTATTGATTCCATGAATTTCGTGATATTTTGTACTTGTACAAACTGTAGAATATCGAAGGTAACGAATTCAACCAGAATCAAGAGCCCCAAAAATTTTTTAGCTATTACAATTTAAAGTCGTATTAATATTTTTCTGAGAAATCTCAGGGTGTTCACTGAATACCTTGAATACCCGGACGCTTCACCACTGGTCAAACCTCGAAAGTCGAATTTCTAAGTTTTTTCACTCCCGCCACAAGTTTTGATCCTCTCAATATGGCCACTGATTGGCTAGCTCCCTCTGACTGGAGCAAAATTCACGTGAGTGGAGCACACATGCGTTTTCTGATTGGCCAGAGAAGAACCTTTGCATGATAAAATACAGACCAATGGAGCAGAGCGGAATGTATAATTCTAACACCACTCAAAACAAGACGATTTTCATTTGGGATGGTC